CAGGGCGAGGATTGCTGGTTGGGAAAAGGAAGCCGGAGAAGGTTGCAGGACCCACTTTAATGTCCACCTGCATGCAATCCCGCCATTGGCCTCGGGCGCCCTCTGGAGTGGCTCCGTCTTCATGCACGGCTCGCTGCTGCTCTTTCATTTCCATACACTGTGAGATAAACTATAAAAACAGTAATAAATAGTTCATTACTGCCAAAATGAATCATTGGTTTAGAAACGATTCACTAAACACTACTTAGAAAATCACATATCCATAATTCAATTATTGAATATTCCGTAGCACTATTCTGTCAGTGTAATGTAGGACCAGCAATACCCACTAACTGCCCAGCTTTCCGTGGTGTTCCATTCGTCATAGGGCGGCCATTTGGAAAGGTGTGAGAATAAGCCATTTTCTCCTTTTATTCTAGGAGCAATATACATATTATTTACCCTGCGGCTTGTCGAGAATCTCTCCACCTTCTGATGAAAGAGTTGCAAGTTTTGTGGTGCCTCCACCACATTTTACCTTCTATTTACACCCACTGCTCGACGCCACCGTCAATGTCAATTGCACCGGGCACGCGAGATGTGTTGGGTTATTCTTGTGGAAAATACCACGCGATAAGGATGCAGTCTGGAATCCATTTTCACCTCGCCGGGTTTTCAAAGCTCTCCACTTTGATGGGCTAAATTGCCAGTGCATATTGCCATGTCAAAGGATAAGCAGTTCCTGAAATATTTAGTATGTTTGTTCTTTGTTCAAAGCACGAAATCTATTACACGCAATGCAAATTATTAGAACTTGAAAAGAAATTTATGATGGAAAAACATGAAGTACCTAAAAGCTAGACTGACAGAAGATCAAACTGTTAATCAGTGTTGGACTACACCTATTAAACTTTTAAAAATACTATTTAATGTCATAGACATATGTATGTATATTAATCTTTACTGATTTTGGTCATACTGAAGTGATATTCCTGTCTCCCTTGCTTTCTGATCTCCGTGGAATGGAAAAAATTCATAATAAATCGATTTATTACAAAAATTAATTTGCATTCAAGTGTTCCTTTTGTTTTAATGACTCTCCGTAATAACGATTTTTATACTTTTTCTTGGTTTTGTCTCGGTGTTAAAAGGGCGGTCTACCAGCTGGCTGGACTCAGTTGAACGATTCTGTGGCTGATGTCGCAGTCATTAAAGTTTTTTGTGGTTTTGGTGTCAAGCACAACAACTGCCCCGCCCCCTCTTCAAATTGTTGTGTTGTTAACCCTCTGAAGCCCTCGCGGCTATAGTGCACTTATTTTCGTCCTCATAGTTTTCGGCGTCGAGCTTTCAAGTTCTTGTTTTCTGCTTTTATTTCTGGTAGATAATCCTCAGAGAAAAGTTCTTTAAAGATAGTAAAGGAATTAACTGCGTTTTAGTGTAATTTAAAAACCAATTAAGGGATTAGTGTATTTGCCTGGGTATTAATTAAATTCCACGGAAGTCTATTGTTTTTATCCGTTTATCTTTTTTAGCCTTCAAATAAAGCAAAGAAAGATTTTTCTGTTAGTAAGGGATATCCAGATTTTGCTTAGATAATTTTCTCTTTCATTAACTAAGTCAGTTTTTGCTTGGCTTTCACAAAAAGCTGTCTATTTTTTGTTGCCTTCCTCAACAATAAAGAGATGGGAAATCAGATTTTTCCGGCCCTTTGTTTTCCTAAAGTTGGACATGGGGCTTACCACCTCCTTTCTGTGGCATTGTTCAGTTGACTTCCTCAATTTCCTTATTTACTTATCTTTATTATTTGTCCAAATGAGCAAATGGCTGGCCTGCTCTTTTGAATGCGAATGAGCTCCGTTTCAGGTAATTACATACGGGGGGCGAAAGTACCTGTTTTTACCTGCTGTACGGTGTTTATTTTTAGTTTTTAACCCAATTGCACAACCGCATTTGTGGGGAATCTCTGGGGGTTTTCTCCTGGCCAGTGGTGGTGGTCAGGAATAAGGACCCAATGCGGGCGGCGAAATGGTCTTTTAAGTGCAGACTCAGCCCGTTGCCATCCTTGGCCATTGATTAAGAGTAAACAGAGCATGTAAATGTTTGGATATTCAAACTGTGCATTTTTTTGCTCTTTGTGGGTGAATATTTTTTGCGCAGTTTAAAGTTGCCCTCGCAAACGTGTATTTCGTATGAATATGGTATGTCGGGGTATGTACGCTACGGAGTCACCCCGAAATGTTGAGCGAGTCAAAGCGAGTCAGAATTTTCCTCGCCCACAAAGTATAATGAATAACAGCACTCCCAGGGAGCGATAACGTTGGCCAGGGTGGAAAAGCTGCTGGTCACATGCCACCCGCGCTGCCGGGGCATTGACATTTTGCCTATCTAGAGGATAGAGTCCTAAGCACGGCACTTCCCCGATCCAGTTTTCGTTCCCGGTTCCCGGTTTCCCCCATTTCGATTTTCCCGGACAGGCATGCACCATAATTCTCAGACCGCCAACGCTTTGATTTTCCGCGCTGCGAAAATTTCGCAATACTAGGCTGGTCAGCAATGCACAGAAAGAAAAGTGTAGAAAATCTTTATATTGAAGAGATTTTTTGCTTTCTTTGGATTCGTAGATACATTTATATTAACTTCATGTACTCCAAATTTCTCGCAGTGTATCTATAGCGAATTAGCGCTATCCGCTGGGTGGTAACTGGTTGGCAGGATAACGGCCCTTTCAAAGGACCGCAGCCCAGTGCAGTTAATAGTTTTCGAATCCAATTCTCCCCAGGCACACACGCATTGCCCTCTGACCTCCGATCGCCCACAGCGACACCGATAATCATGTTGATGGGCCTGCACTATTGAACACGAAACTTTGGCCAGCTTTGCCCAATTCAAAAACGAACATTTTTCGGGGGACATACAAAAAAAAAAAAGAAAAATGGAAAACAACTCTGTGGGCTCTCCGCTTTCAATTTGGTGCAAATGCCTGTTTCTGCTTTCGCCCCTCTGCTTTGTTTCCACTACATTTCCCACACTTTCCCACTGCGCCGGATGACCATGGGATTTGTCTGTAAGTCGAGCTATTTGCACATTTTCGTGGAGGGCAACTGTTGTGCCTGGATTATTTTCAAAATTCATTCGCCACTCCGTTCTCGTTTTCAATTTGGGTTTCTTTTTTGGTGGGAAATAAATTGATAAAACATTTGTTTTAAATGTTTTAGATTTTAGATTTTAAGATGTATTAAAAGATAGTTAATTTTTCTTTAATATGACATAATATTCCTGTTTATTTTATATATGTTTAATATTAGAAAACTAAAACAAGGAAATTACTCAAAAACAGATATACAAAGGTTTTCCAAAGACTACAATCTAAAATGGCTGAAAAACGACATTGATTTTCCATTTGCAATCAACGTTTTCAAATCGCACCAAAAGTGGGCTCAAAGCATCCTTGGGAAATCGGTCGTAAAGGCTGATGATTCTGGGCTGTAAAAGGACGTTCGCAACAAAACAACCAACTGTTGTCGGATCCATTCGAAAGCGGTAAAATGCGAACGGACGGACGGACGTACGCACGTGTGCCTGTGTGTGTGTGTGGCAATTGGCAGGACCAACTCATTAGCGCAAAGGGCGTACAATGTGCCATATATATGCCTACATATAGCATCTGGCCATCGGCCCGATCCGTGCGTGTCCGCAATTAAGGTGATGACAGGGGCGGGGGCAAAGCGGAATCGGACTCCGAGGGGGTGTGGTACCTCCGTACATACATACATATATCCCAGTGACGCGACAGATTTCGCTAATGACTGTGTTTGGGGGGAGTGTGGGTATCCTTTCCATTTGGATTCACCATTTTTCCTGCTCACCAAATATCCGGCACTAGCCCAACCTGAACCACCTTCGGAACTTCTGTTGATGAATCGAAAAACTACGGGAATTAGATGTGCATGTCAGTCAGCAAATTACTAAGCCCCCCCCTTTGCGCCAGCCATCTGATGATGTATCGCCACCTCTGTGTCGGGCTCAAAAAAGTTGTTAATAATTTATTTGTGGCTGATTATTTAATTACAGAGGACGGTCATGAACCACACACATTCGGATCATAAAGTTTGCCTTTTAAATTTGGTGGATTTTATTGCTTGATTAAATGGGGAATGCTTTAAAAGTATAAATTCTGTTTAATATGAATTCCACAGAAAAGTAAATAAAATCTTAATAAAAATGTTCTTATACTCATATTATTTGAATTAACTTATTGTTAAAGAAAATCTAGTCGAGTCACAATTTCCGTAGGTATTGTCTAGTCACTTCGAGTCCTGACTTTTCTTCTTTTATGTGTGTTTTATTCCTTTGTCCTGGACCATAACTTTCGATGAAATTGCATTGAATTGTGGAAATAATCGCCATAAAAATGTTTCGTGCACGACTTGTAATTGGTTTAAGAATTTATGAGGGTTGATTGTGTTTTCTTCTTTTTTTTTTTGTTCTTTCCCCCTCGAAGTACATACAGGCATAGTCCAGGTCATATATATATGGGGTTTAGGTTTAGGGGTTGGGGAGTTTTTATGCTTCGATAGGGGCCATTGACACCCTTTGTTGTTCAGAGTTTTCTTTTAAGCCTTTTGTCGAAACGTCATTTGATTTGTATAGAGAACGACTTGATGCCATTTTAAAGACCCTTTCCTTGCGGTCATAGGGCATTATAGAAGTTTACATAGAAAGACAAATTGCTTTATAAAGCGATCAATGAGCAGGAGGCAAACTCTAAGGAAACTTCAAAGTTATAAAGAGAAGAAGAATTTATTCAATAAAGTTAAACTGCCTTTAATCAAGTTCTTTGAAATTCATTTAATAATGGCCTTCACCAACGTTCAAGGATCCAATATTAAATTATAATTATGGAATGAAAAATGTGTCCATCATAATAATTTGGTTAGTCAATCTATAAATGTAGACCTCAATTTGTCTTGAATTTGATTTGTGTATCTTTCTGTAACGTCAACTTTTTCCTTATTTTCCAGAATATGCCTGGCAGGTAGACTTCTGCTTTTCTTCCTACCACCGAAAGGCCAACGTCACAGCAAATTTTTCTTCTGGCGATGAGAGCTAAACAAATGACACTCCTTCTATGAGGGTTAGGGCCAGGAGTCATCTTCCCTGGCAATCGCAAACTGAATCGCAATTGCAGAATGTGTGCCAGCGACGTGGAACCTTCGGTACATTCCCACTGAGTGGCAGGAGGATATTCCTTAGACAGACACCTCTGATTGAATCGGTAACGGCGACCAAAACGAAAACGAGAAAGAAAAGAAAGGCAAAGGAAATGCGGAAAAACTCAAAGGAAATGGCGGCGAATCGAAGGCGAAAGAAGACAATCGGCATGCTGACATCGGGACTAAAATCAGTAGTCAAGTGGAAAATTATTGTATCATCCATAATGTTGCTCTTATTAAGTGAGACAAGTGAGTGAAACTCATTTACAGCAGAACATCTATCTGACTGCCTCTGACACATTTGGCCTGAATAAATAAATACATTCTTAGGTTGGGCCTACTATGCGTATACGCAATATTTGATTTGGTCAGCTAGGCGTTATTCTACTTATGTTGGTTTAATTATACATTTGTACTATACATTTGAAGTTTGGAAAATTTACTTAGAGTTAACTAATTTTGCCAGCATATCTGTTGTTTTGATTTGTGCAACAAGAAAGAGGGTTTCGCTGCTTGAAATACTCTTTCTTTTTAATATTTTCAAATATATTTATAGAGAAAAATAGAATCTTTAACCTTTAGATTTTAATATATTTATATTTCCTTAACGCTATAAAATCGATTTAAGATTACTTATCAGTAAAGTTAATTTTTATCTCAGCTCAAAAGTAGAGTAATTAAACATTGTTGCTCCGAATGGGGTTGTGTTAACCACCCTTCCCCCTTGTTTTTGTTTTGCTTGCATAATTTGTACCCGGAGGAGCTGTTGGATGCGACTCAATTTACACGACCAGGGTGGAGTAAACAATGGCCGGGGTCCTTGAATGGGGCCAACAGAAGGCAGCGACACGAAATAAATTACAAGGATTTATAATTCTTATCTCTCCGCTCTCTCTCTCTTTCGTTTCATGTGGTGACTCCTTGGCAATTGCCGGCATTGTGTGTGCCTGCTCCCGTTCCTGCTCCTTGGACTCTGATTCGGATTCGGATTCGACAAAAGGTCACGTGCTGGCGGTACGAAAGGGTCGCCTTATGTCCCCCAGCACATTTACCGCCCTCAGCGGGGACTTGCATGTGCAGATTCAGTTCAATGGTAACGAGATGTCATCGCAGGAGGAGTTGGAAGAGATGGATTCTAGCCATGGCCCAACCAGTGAGGAACACTTGAGCACTGACAGGCGGGACTTGAAGGCCAGGAACAACACCATAATGAGCACTTTAGTCATTAGCAAAATCATTGATGAAGTGGATCCTGGAGCGTTGGAAAAGGGTTTGACTTTAACCACCGAGGTAACGAATAGCAGCAGCCAGGTGGTTTTGCATCGCAGACGTAAGGAGGTTGTGCAGAATATACCGCTCTTCCCGGATCCCCGGTTCAATGTCACCCAGGTGACTGTGCCATGTCAGACGTTTTTGATCGGAGGACGCTATGAGATGCAGGTGGTTAGTAATCTCAAATCGGTGAACAAGAGTGAGGTTACAACCACTTTGGTGCCGGCACAGGATGAACGATTGCACCAGACCCTGGATGTGCGATGGCCCAGTGCTGAGATGATTGTGAGTCCGGTGCGCCTTCGGACTTATCCCAAAAATCCCGTAGAGGTGACCCTAAGATTTCCTGAGGTTAACTGCAATCAGTCGGGTAGTCTTCCTCTGCCAGAATTTTGGCTAGAGTTGATATACTGCGGCAAGGAGCGCAGTTGCAGTCGGAATATATCCCGTTCCAGTGTCCTTTTTGCAGAGCAGATACGTGGATTCCCGAAAAACAAAAGCCTGCACTTGGGATGCGAACTGTTTGGATTGGCTGGCAATTATGCAGTCCAATTGAGACCCATGATTCCGGCCCAGAATGTGCCCACCACCCGAAGGCTACTCAGCGTCGATTGGAGCGATGAGTTCGTGTTCAATGTGTATGCCCGTAGCATTTTTCCCTGTGATCCGCACACGGGAATCGGTGTCCTCTACGAATATCCCGGATGCATTTTGGAGCAAGGCGACCGGGTACGTCTGTACGCCAAGCTGCGGGCCGATGTCGCCTCACTGAAACCCCCAACATCACTGCATTACGTCGCCGAACAGCGGGTGGTCAAGAGCCAACATTCACTGTACTTCGCCTGCGACTATTTCTCTGAGAAATACGTGGAGTACTGCTTCGTGTACGTCAGCCAGGCAATTTCCGGAGCCGTGGCCGATGTCCGGATGGACTGTGTGCCCACGCTGCCCGTGAGCGGTGAGTGCTTAAATCCGTATTAATGCCATATTAAACATTATTGAAAGGAAAATCCCAATTAAATGGAATTTAAATACATTTTAACATTTTATTGCATCTCCTTGTCCGCTACACTGAAAGCTTTAAAGATGTTTGTAAAGAACTCTCTTATATCAGGACACAGATTCTTCTACCGTAAACATTTTCCATGTGGAAATTACATTTTCCACTTTAAAGTTAAAACCAAACTGTCATAATAATCTTTAATGAAATAAAACAGTTAACACTTCATTTTACTACATATTCGTATACATTATGTAAACTTACCTTATTAATTATGAAAGGATTAGCTTATGACAGTGTTCTCCCCACAGATTCGGATACCGGTGGCTGGGGACCCTGGAGCGAATGGACTCCCTGCTCCACAAATTGTTTGGGCGGAACAAGGAATCGCTATAGATTTTGTGATTCACCACCACCGCGATATGGCGCCAAATTCTGTGAGGTATGTAACCCCTGTAACTACTCTAAATAACTCGGTAGATTAACCTCTGAACGACCTCTGCCTCCACCTGATTTGACAACGTTAATAGTCAAAGTTTGATTGAGTACTCCGAGAAATGATTAATACTCAAGCACATCTAAGTGAAGGCATCAAGATGATTTCAATAAGTGCGGAACTACAACTATAGACAGGCAAACTTCGTCTGGCTCTGGGGACTTCGTTACCCCAGAGATTGCTTCCAGTTTAGTTCACATTTCACTCGACTTTTCTTCTTACACTTGGAAAATATGAGAGTATAGAAATATATAATCAATAATTATCATAATAAGAATAACAATGAAAAACAGATAGATTTGGTGAGCCCAAATCTACTTTCTAGTAAAATACCATGAAATCCAAGTCATCATGGCTGATTTCTCTCTCTGTACTCCTCCGGGGCAAAGTGGAACTATTTCATTGTTTTTGTTTGTGAAACACTGGAGGAGCGGGTGTCTTCGGTATAATATAGTATAGCATGGCATGGCATGGTATGTTATGCTGTCTGCGAGCGTGTTTCCACACTGCGACACTTGCTCCAGATTGCGTGGGGAATTTACGACGCTTCCGACAATTGTCGGCCTACTGCGCCTCGCTTTATCTTGTTTCTTTTGTTTGAACCGAATGGTGAGTCGAGAGTGGAGGGTGAACCTCCACATCTAGTACCAGAACCATCCGCATCTCCATACCCATCCGCGCATTTCATTATCCAAAAACTTCCGGCATCAGAATCCAGCGATAGGGGCACATTTGGCCGTACTTTGCCAACTTGTTCGGAACAATTACAGGCAAAGTTTTTAAATGTTCCTCGCACTTATTGCAAGTAGTTCTTGCACGGGAGTTGTGCCACGGATGCTGGAACAATGCCATCGCCGTGGGGCGATTACAATTGAGTGGGTTGAGTGCGTCCACGCGGGGGAACGTGTGGCACCTTTACATTCACACAGTAGGCTTTCTATAACAATTTGCATTTGCCCCCCAAAGAATTACCCGGAGGCGTTGCTGCCCATGTGTGGTATACAAATATTGCCCCACGGGCTATTAATCAAACAAAGCTCCGGCTCGACAGGCACTATTTGCTTTTAGAAAACACGGGAATAACCTTTTGTGACCACACACAGGCGCCACAAACTCAAATTAGTGGCATTTGAAGTGGCACTCTTAAACATGTTTAAGCCAGAAAATATTTTGCTATTCCATTTACTCGCAAAAACACAAAAATGCTATTAAAAATATTGAATTTAAGTGGTTTTTTCACAGCTTTTGGTTTAAATGGATACTAATTTAATTCAATATTGTTTATAAGTTTTAAAATAAATTATGAGAGTCGTTCGTTTCCACTGGCCAAACGCTAACTATTTCTCTAAAATGTAGAATTTAAAAGAGCAGTTAGGTTTTTTAACATAAACTGAATATGAATGCAGCCAACCCTTGAACTAAAAAATACTGCACATGCTCGTTGAATTTCTCTATTTTTCTTAAAAAAATAACCTGTGGAAAAATTTTCTGACACGCTTGCAAAAATATGAACCACTGAAATATGAATAAAAACCAATTATTAAAATAACAACTCATATTGTTAAAAGTGCACTTTAAAGTTAGAAAAAGGAAATTCAGCTTAAATTTTATATCTTAATTAAGTCTTGGTGGAAAACATAGCTTTTCCGACTATTTAAACTAGAAAGGTTATGCCTTAAGCTTTGAAAGCTCTCATAACCTTGGTAACGGTTGTTCAACTAGTAACAACTAGTTAAAAGAGCTTATTTTACTCGAACACAGTACGATGGGTATAAAAATTCCGATACAATTTGTTTTAAAAATCACAAATACACGTTAAAATTCAAAGACAGTCAAGTCGGATAACGAAAAGAAAGCCACAAGATGCCGCCGAAGGTTAAGAAGGAGAAGAAGGATGTGAACAAGGTGACCCAAGTGGACAGGACATTCTACGAGTTGACTATCACAGATCTAAACCAAAAGTTGGCCCGCCTGCGAGCCCACTTGACCAACGTCGATGAGACCAATATTACGCTCACGGAGAAACTCAAAGATGTTGAATCCGATGGCGTGGATGTGGCAGCCCATTTGGAACGGACTTTGGCGGAGAGGAACAATTCAATAACCGAACTGGAGGAACGCCTAGTGGAGATTACTAAGGTGCGGGATGTGGAGAACCGTTTGGCCCAGGAAAAGATTGGTGACCTAGAAGCCAAGTACAAGGCTATGCATGACCAATTGACCTCCGAGATAAAGTTACTTAATGGCAAGCTGAACTCTCTCGATGAATTTCGCATCCAAAGGGATGTCCTGCTGGCCAAGTTTGATGAACAGGAGGCGGATCTTAACGAAAGGGAAAAGGATCACAAGGAGGCACTGTACAATATGGAACAGCGAGCGGTGGTGGAAAAGGATGCTCTTAAAAAGGAAGTGGAACAAAAGTTGCTCCAAGTCTCGGAGGATTTCACCCGCTCCAGTGAGATCCGTAATGCTGGCTACACCCGTCGTCTGATTCGCGAGAATATTGCCTTACAAAAGGAGATCGATCTTCTGGTCATGTCGCAGATAAAACTCCAGCAGGCTTATACAAACCAAAAGTCCAAGCACAAGGAGATGGAGGAACAGTACAGTGCCCTTGATCAAATCAAGAATGAGTTGGTCCGAAACTCCGTTAACAAGATCAAGATCATTGAGGGTCTAACCCGGAACTACGAGAAACTCAAAGCCAAGTATGTGGAGGTGTTGAGGTACAAGAAGGCCTATGAATCCCATTTACAGGCAGAAAAGTGTGAGAACGTTAAACAGAAGGATGCAGCTGGAAAACTTCGGACTCTGGCCAAGCGAATGGAGATTGTAGAGCTAGAAAATCGAAATTTGGATGTGGTTCATGCTCAGCATGAGATTGAAATCACCCGACTGCGTGGAGTCATCCAGGAGATTAAGTGCACGGTACGCGATGCCATTGTGGCGGAACAGGCAGCCAAGGCCTTCCCGGAGAGATTGAACGAGGCCAATGTTGATGACCCCGCGGTTATACAAGAAGTTCGAGAAGAGGCCATCTCCGTTTGCAAGCTGAAACGCGGCGATTTACTCTCCACACTTCTGAACATTGTTAGCTCCCACTCGGAGGATCTTCCAAGGACTCCATCGATTGCCTCCATCGGCAGTGCCACCTCATCGCTATATGCACCCGGTAAAATGGGCTTTATGCCCACCCGACCCAAACCAACACCCTTCGATGCCTTCCGTAGCGAGGTCGTTGACCACAAGCCGGATACCACCATTCCTGAAGACTTGCAGAAGCAAAAGGCTCAGGATAAGTACATTCCCTTGCGCGGCGACGAGAACACTATCATTGATGTGGAGTTTGGAACCACTTTGTATGTCTCATCTTCACGCGAAGACGATCTTATCGAAGTGGAGGAAGAACCCCTGGAGGAGCCGGAGGGATCTAGCAGTTCCATGTCCGTAAAGAAGGCTAGCAGCGAAGGTTCTGCTGCGCCTCCTGCAACTGCACCTCTCGTCGCATCCACGTCAGCTAGGGATATCAAATTAGTCCCCAGCATGGGAACATTAGACACCCTTACGGCCACTTCTAAATTGACGGGCGTTACCACCGAGGATGAGGGCGAGGAGGGTGAAGGCGAAGAAGAGGACTTCGAAGTACAATTCTTCTACTAAAATTCCTTGAAATTTATGTTTACTATTTGTTCCACCATTGTTGAGAATTAGAAAATATATGTAAATATATATTTGAATGTAATGGCCGTTTTGTGCCTTTCGTTCCTAGAGTTGGTTGTATCGTTTTTAATTGGGTCTTAGTCAAGAGTAAGTGTGACAAAGCTATCTATTGCTGTACACGCTTCTTTGAGTTGCTTAGTGAGTAAGAGTAAATGAGATGACGATACTAATAAAGGCGAAATGCGTAGCTAAATTACTGTTCCTAAAAAAATATGTATGTAAGAGGAAGAGAAGAAAAAGTGCAGTCATTCTGAAAGCAGATCACAGTAAATTGTATTATTAAATAATATATTTGAGTATTTTCACATCTAACACTATATTCTGCGGTTATTATATACTTACAGGGCCCATCAGTTGAGACCCAAAAATGTGGCAAGAGCATAGCTGATACGTGGGACTGCATCTACGAGACATCTGGTACGGTCATAACCAAGGAGAATAGCACAGAGGTTAGTCAGGAGATTGGACCAGGATGTCGTTGCGGCTGCATTGTACATCTGGGCTCCTCTAAGCCCAAAAGGATCATTGCGGGAGCCACACAAAGTTGTCCTGGCCGCTCCTTCTGGCTAATACAGGTACGAAACATTAACTAACATTAACTAACCTCCAATAAAAAAAAATGGAACAAAAAAGTCACACTAGAAAATAGCGAAAGTTAAGCAAAGTTGGCCTTTGGCATTTGGTCCGGTCAAGTTTTGAAAGCTTTCAAGTTGTCTGCCGCCATAACTATAAAAACGAACACAATGCCAAACACTCAGAAGTCCAAGTCCATGAATAAAATTCCGCTACGCTTCGGAGGCTGCCCCCAAAATGACAAAGGAGCCCCACTTAATGTTCCATGCCACAGGGAAGTGTGGGTCGAAGCTGGGCATTACTGGTGATGGGGGTTGAACTCAATTCATGCATAATAAATGCCCCACTTGGTAGGCGTTTTCGCCAGTCCCGAAACTATCAATGCGTAAGGGATCCATTGAGGGGTGTTGGTGGGTTAAACTCTCTGTACCGGGCACTTATAGGTTAAAAGGGTATATTAAACGTGAGATAGCGGATTCTAAAAGCATAAATTTGGAAGAGGTAGAAAAATGTATTGGAAAAGAAAATTTCTTTTCCGAGGGAAACCAACTTAATGAGAGATACCAAAAAGAGATACCTTTTAGTTCATATTATTTTGTTTTCAATGGGTATCACATGAATGGCACCATCCACATCCCCTATTCATATACACTTTTGTTCACCCCCTTTGAGTTCGATACAATTGGAATGATTAGAACTGCCAATTGGCACGTGCAATGGGATGAGGGGAAATGTGCTGATGGGACGGCGCAGTCCAAATGCTGATGAATGCCTGACCCACTTTGGCAGTTTCCATTGGCCCGGAATAGGGGGGAAACACCAAACATTTACCCGTATGTTCACAAACACTAAATTCCTTTACTTCCCAGGTTGATGGTGAGGAGAGCATTTCGCTGGCCCTGAGCTTCCTTCGTTTGCCGTGTGCCACCCAGTACATAAAGGTGCGCGATGGTCCGTCGCTTTCGTCCACTCTGCTGGTAGAGCTAAATGGCGGCGGTTTGATTCTCAAGGGAGCTGGCGTTCCGGTGTCCGTTGAGTCGACTGGTGGCCAACTCCTGGTGGAATTTTACGCTGGCGATGGTCAGGCGGCCAATGCAACTCAGGAGGGAAGTGCAGCCTGCACAGGAGGATTCATGGCCAATGTGCAGCAAGTGTTGGGTGTGTATTTTTGACCAATCCCACCGGAATTTAGTAAATAATGAAAATATTTTAATTACAGCTTCCAGAGGAGGCAATAGTAGTACCACTCTTGTAGCGGCCACTCGGTTGTCGGGAAAAACACGCTCCGTTTCCCACAAACCCATGTCAAGGCTTCGTTTTACTCTGGTACATCTAAGTGCCATGATCTTTGCCAGCATTATCATCATAATTAGCGCATTGTTAGGTGAGTTTTGGAACTCTTTCAGCATGTTAGGGACTAATAAACTGTTATCTTTAGGTGCCCAATATGTTGTGCGATATCGGAAGTATCACTTGGCAGTTGCCCGCCGACAGGACGAAGGGTCACGCCTTCACACTCCTAGAGCTTCTCTCAGTTCCCTTCAAGGACCTCCTTCACGAGCCATGTCCACGACTACTCTGCTCTCGGAGGTCATTTACATGGTCAAGATGCGACCTAAGCACCACCTACGACACTCCATTCTTCGCGAAAGTGTGGATGCTGAAAATCTGACCAATGAGACGGAGTTTAAGGAGTCTGATTCACAGGGAATGCTAGCCAAATGGTTTGTTTTAAAAATCAAAAACAAATTTTTAAATATATATTAAAAGTACTTTCTATACAGCGCTGAGGTCAAAGAATTGGGAAGCTCCGCCTCTATGGTCACTCTGCGCAATGAACGATCCTCGCCGGCGCGATCTCTGGACACTGGAAGTGTTATAGGATCGCCGTCCTCTGCTGAAGCCGAACTAGCTGCGGTTCACAGCAGGACAGATGAGTCAAAGGACTCACCCACAGATGAACATTTGGAGCAACCGAGCTGCAAAGATAGTGCCAGGGATTCGGAATCCATCATATCCTCGGGCATGAGCTCCCTCTGCAACAGTCCACCAATGAATAGCAAACGGTTGAGCAAGTACTCCGATCGGTACGATGCGGTTACCCTGAAGTTGCTATCATCTAGATTGGATGAGAGCCTGCAGGATGCAAGTTCCCTGCATTCGGTCACAGAATCTCTCAGAATGGGTCGCCTGGGATCACGCAGTGTCAGCTCTTCCCTGACGAATGTGAGTTAAGAGGTTACTCTTATCATAAGTTCAAAAGTGTTTCTATAAATTATTTAATATTTAAAATAAAAAACTTAAATATTAATATATTTTCATTTTTCAGGGCTGCTATTCTCCTGCTGCCAGTGTGGTGAGCACGGCCACTATCAGGACCACCAGCAACCCCAAGGAGTCCAAGGAGAAGCAGAATCGCAGAAAACTTCTGGCACGTCCTGGCTCTGAGTTTTCACTCGGGAATCAGGAAGAACTTGAGTTGGACTACTACGATTACAATGTGATCAACGCAGGATCGGCGCCTGGATCCTATCTTGGAATGGATCCAGCTTACCTAATCTGGATACCACCATTCGAAGAGGTTGCAGAACGGGAGGAGGACGACAAGACACCAGAACCGGAACCAGATCCCGAAAGAGATGAACGACAGCCGCTGTACGAGGAGATTCGGATGCCCAAGTATGGACACTATCTGAGTCCGGCCAGCAATACGGAGTCTAGCAAGTCCACTACGGCTGACAATACACCCAGTTCGGAGGAGCGTTCCCCTCCGGACAGTGGACGTCCTTCTAAGGCTACTTCACCGTGCGATGGAGCAGAAAAGGGAGGGAAATCTTTGCCCAAGCAACCCACTCCGTTTATGTCCAGAAAACAGCGGCGTCAGTCCAAACAGCAGATGCAATCTAGTTTGTCTCTGAGTGCCGGTTCTCTTGATCACGAACAGCGTTCGGGAAAGAATTCTAAACTCCCAACTGAGATTGCTGCAGTGCATCAAAAACTGGAAGCCGAAATGGAACCAAACGAATCCATGAATGGTTCTTATATCGAAAAGGAAACTGCCGTTGAGAAATCATCAGGGGATCTGCAGGAGTTTCTATCTCTCGATGACATCCAGTTTGCGGATGAAAGTGGTAGCGATTATGAGGCTGTAAACCTCAAGAAAGTTCCCAAATCGGAACTCAAGCTAAACCAAGATGATGTTAGATCCAAACTCTTGCGAAGAAAAGAACCCAAATCAAATGAAGTTTCCGTGTAACCCCTAAATATTATTGTACATAAACTCAGCACAAAGGGGGCACTATATGTTTAGCTTAGTTTACGATCTTGTAAAATACGGGTAAATATTATATATATATACATATGTCAGCACCATAAGAAACGTAGACCACCTGGAGTAAATGTGTTTTTAAAGTTAAGCCTTAAGCTCATCTCAGTAAAATGTATACTTAAAAAATCGAAAAGAATGTAGAGCTCGTATCTAGTCTCAAGGCTCTTAAAAAGCTAATCTGTTTAAACCCTCGTTACCATGTATATATCTTAGCTAAGGTTCACTGTAATTTAAGTATTTATTCGCACATGGCTATGTACACAACTCAATATTGTTTACCTAAGGAATTTTATTTGGCAATAACTTTGAATTAGACAATTGGAATTACGAAATTTTGTGATCTTCATTTTGTGCTTTGAAGCATTGGAAATTCTAGTCAATATGATAGTCAAAATTAATTAGCATTTTAAAATCAAAAAATGTTTTTGTTTCTACAGATATTAAGCTTTTTTAACACCCAAAACTGTAAGTTAAGAAAGTCAATAAAATACTTGTATAGATAAAACTTTTTTTGATCCGTTTTATGTGAACTTTATTAAAACCATCAACCAGATTGATTTCGGCGAAACAAAAATTTACTTGTTATATAAACAAATGGATTTGTCAGAAAAATAGATTATACTTTCTTGTCATATCCAAATGTTTACATAAATGTGATTTTTGGCAATTACTTAAGAATCTTAAAGTTATTTTTCTTTAGGAAAGTATAGACCTACACACCCTGAGAAAAGTATATTTTTCACTTTTCTTCGGTAAATTAGGTAAATTACTTTCCTTGCCAAAAATAATTCTATTACTCTCCAGACAGTAAAGTTAATTTCTATTCAGATCATGCAAGCTAAGGGGCCCTTCAGTTCTATCATATTGATTTGGAGGCGTAAAGGATAATAATCGCTTACAATGTTCTTGATGAGTCACGATATTTGCTCGATAGGCCAATAACTCCTGTCGTTTTCGTTCTCTCCTCATCTTCTCCAGAAAGGGTGCTTCTTTCTCCCCAGAATGTCCCTTTATAGTTCGGCACATTATGCATGCTGTTTCTTTTCCTGAAGAAATTTCGAATTTAGTCCCTTCATCTTTTGGCTTGGGAGTAGGTTTACGAGTAGTTTTAATCCTTTTTTTAACATAGGCTTTCTTTAATTCTAAAGTATTACTCTTCTTTTCATATATTTCATCATATGGATAAAACAGTAATTCGCCATCCGGAATACCCTCAAGGTCCATTGAGAAGTTATCTGAAACGTTTTCTACGCCGACATCATCCTGACTAAGATACTGCTTAACCCTCCCCAATTTCTCATTGTACGCCGCAGCGGGAAAATCTGAATCAATACTTGGTTTTTTCATCTTTTCCAGAAAACTTTTGTGATCTTCAGATTTTCGCAGCTCTGGGTTAACACTTCCTGTCCTCACACTTTCAAATTCAACAGACGGCACATCGTTGAGAAGGCCTGATGCTATTGAGACGTTATCCAAATTTTCATCAAGTTCGATATCCTCTGTTATTGGCTGGAAATAATCAAATTTTAATTTTTTTGAGGGTCGTCTTAAAGAACTAAATGATAAGCTCTTGTTCATCCTAGTGTTGGCTTCACTTTCTGGCTTAATATCGATACTTAACTGCAGCTTACTTTCGTTATGGATTAGTGGTTGATTTTTATTGCCCTCCGCAGGACTCACTTCAAGAGCAATAAACGATCTATTGACCCTTGTAAAAAATGACAAGGACAACACAGAATCTATATCCCAATTGGGATTGATAATTTGTTCTACTTGGTCAACGGAAGATTTTTTACTTAAGGAGGACAATTTTTTTTCTTTTTGAAGTATAGGGGTGATTGACTTTTTAGTTGGGGATTTTCTTGAAGTTATACCATTAGTCCGAGACTTTACTTCCGATGGAAGTGGACTTATTTTTGAAGTATTTAACTTTTTCCTTTCTTCGTGAAGTTCTTCAGGTTTCTTAGAGGAATTCATTTTGCTTTTGCTACTCTTTCTAAATTTATTTCGAGGTTTAAGGATTATTTTTAAAGAGTATTTCATAACGTCCATGTTTGGTTTGGAATCTCCCATTACTTCAATGCTGCTTCCAGGACTTCCTTGGGCTTCTAGGACACCTTTAACATGATGCTGGATGGTAGAAAAATTTGACTTAATCTTTGAACTTGCTTTGGGTTTTTCTTTTTTAATACTTTTCTTTGTGATGCTCTCTGGTCCTTTGGGCGATTTTGACCTATGAGTTCCTTCATTTAAATTGGGTTGGGACTTTAAGGACTTTTTCCTTGTGGTTTTTGTTTTTCTAGATTTCGCTTTTGGCTGTTTGACTTCAGACTTTGAACTTAGAAGCTGATTAGTTCTTTCTTGAAGTTTAGTAGACTTGTGAGTTTTTCCATTTAGTATTATATTTTCAGTTGGATGAGAATTAACTTTATAGTACTCCACCACAGAATGTTTCCTAGACAATGGTTTCTGTGTCTCTGAATGCTTTTCATGTTGAGGCAACCTGTTGTCTTGGATGTGCGTCCTTACTATGTCGTATATGTCATTGTAAATGCTGTCATCTTTCAAATCACACTTGAATTTCATATCATTATTTTTACGTTCGAATCTGAAAGTCTCTTCGAATTTGGGCTGATCTTGACTGGCTTGAAGGATTTGATAGAAGGTATTCTTCTTCGCCTCCCTAGATATGCATCTTGACTTTGGAGATATGGTACTTTGGATCACAAATGATGCAGTTTCCGCTAATGGAACTTCCGGAGTCGACGCTACCTTCCTCCTTCCGACTTCCTTTTTCCTCTGGAAGGTTGGCCAGGCAAGCGATCTTTGATCTAATTTCTGAATGCTATACAAAACATTCGATATGGAATTGGAAAGATATTTTGCATTTGGATTTATAGGACTGGGACAGTTATATCTCTCCATTAACAGGCAATTTCGATTATAAAATAAACTTGTGATCTAAAAAATCCTAATTTTTTTATATATTTTTTTATAGGTTTGTAACGTTTTTAAGCAATTTAATGCAAATGTGAAATAACCTCCATAGGCTTACTAAGTATAGTTCTGTTTTAAGATCTTAGGATCTTACCTGTTTCCTTCAAAATGAAATAAAATCTTTATCACTTATTATTCAACATATTTATTAATAAAGTTTCAGGAAAATATTTTGTCTATCGATGAAACGTGGCTCAAAATACAAATAGGGGATAGGTGCTTCTTAAAGTAGATACAAGTAAAATGTTAGTTGTTTACTAGGATAGGGTATAATTACTTGAATGCCAACGATTGGCTAAATTTATTGGTCCTGTAGTGCCTGTCGAAAAGCGTTTTTATATTTGTTTGTCATAGGTACTCGATTACTATTTTGTAAATATATTATTAGGGAGATCCTATCAATTTCCCCAAAACGACTTAGCCTAAGGTAACTTTTTGATTAACGGATATCAAGAGTTTTCGTAAAATATAAAACTTTGTTATTGCATTTTTTTTGAGGTCAGGAAGTTTATATCCGTTAGCTATAATTGCTTTTTTGCGTATTTCAATAGAAAAGTTTAACAATCAACTTTATGGGTGTGGCAACTGAAAGTTCAAATGTGGATTTTGCAAGCATTTTAAGATTTGCAATTAAATAATTGTGCCAAAGCATGGTCCATGTGAGGTATGTATTCTATATCTTTTATAACATTTAACTGCTCACTTACTAGATAGACTTTATAAAACGCAAGGTGGTTCAAAAGCTTTATATTTATTTAGATTTTAACGTCCTTTAATTTCTACATTAATATCGATTTAAAGCAATCAGGTCGTATAATAATTGTTATAAAGATTTAGTGATAGCTTTTGAATTACTTTAAGAGAAGGGAAATGTCTTTTAGTTTAAAGTTTTTCTTTAGTTTACATGTCATCTTTATAAAATTTAAGAACTAGACGTAGTCGTATATAAAATGTAATCTTGATCCCTTGGGCTTAAACTTTGTTAGATAAACAATTAATATGTCTGTTTATATGCCTATAATTTAATATAAAGCGCTTGATATCTGGTTGTATAAATTTAACATAACATTTTGGTTTTAACACTATATTTTTCTTATATTTCATAACATTTTTAATAACTTTTTTTGATAAAGCTTTAAAGTAGCTTACAGAGGAGTGCATATTGGTTATAAGATTAATTATATAATATAAATCAAAAGCGTAGGGGAATGGCCAGTAGACTTAGCTTTTTTGCTTTCGTAGAGATCTCAATTTATATCGTTTTCGCCTCAAATTCTGTTTAAATATTAAGTAATTTATGTTTTAATTTATATGGGTATAATTTCTATACATAAATGTTAACATTCGTTTTAAATACATGGTATGTATTTAATTAATGACTTAGAAGTAAAACAAATGTGCCTTAAATGCCTTTTGTGAACCTAATAAAATTCATGTTGAAAACTTTACCCAAAACAAAAATAATGATAAATCCTTGAGAATCATAGATATAGCTTATGATTTTTTAGGATCAATTACTTTAGCCTCACAGTCCGTGGGATCAATGTCGTGCTCCACAACCAGAGTGTTCTTTGAGATCTTATCCGCCAACAAAGCCACGGGATCTGATGCGGTCTTGGCTACGGCCGGTCTGCCAGTGGAACGCCTCCTTATGTTCTCGTCCTGCTGCTCTTTCCTGTGTAGATCACTTAGTCTGAAGGCTTCCAGGAATTCATTTAAGTCCACTTTGCCATCACCATTCAGGTCCATCATTCGGCATTTCTCAAGCATTTCTGCCTTGGAATAGGCACCTGGCATATGGGCCACCAGCAAGTCAATAGCAGTTTCAAACTCATCTAGGGTAATTTCACCTGAAAGGTATATCAATTATTATGCGTCTTTTTAATAATTTGAAGTTTTCTTAAGACTTACCAGAATTATCCGCATCAATGATGTTAAATATCGCCACTAAGCTGGCTTTGTTGGCATATAAAGCGTCCATAACTGACATGCCATCAGCCTCAGCTTCGAGCTAAAGTGATAAACATAAGAAAATAAGTTAGTCAGAGCACTCAAAGCTCTTAAACTACTTACTATAACATCTGTGTCCAGTAAATCCAAAGTTCTATTGTAAATAACCTTCTGGCTATCTGTGCCCGGAGCCAATTTCTCGCGAAGGAGACGCCACGGCAAGCCCAACTTGGTGACATTTTCCATTACTGTGCACCAATTCGATATGGATATATAACCACTGTCCTTAGGATCAAATCTTCTGAACTCGTCCTCCAATTCATCCCGATGATCACGCATACGCACTGCCAACTCCTTGAGTGCCGAACTTTCCACAATGCCCATTCGCTGTTTAAAGGATAATCGTTTTGTTTGCGATGCCGCCGATATATACTGAACAAAATGGGGCATCAGCTGATTGTTCAGACGGATATAGGCACCCTTATTCGATCCAATGGCATAGTAGTTAGAGGCCGAGAAAATTGTGATTATCTGTGAGTGAAAAAAAAGAAAAGTTACTTTTTGCCTTTAGCTGTTTTTTCTTAATTACTTTTCATTAAATAACCTAGCATATACAACAAAGCCCCATCAGCTTGCAAATGTCACACGTGTCAATTAACCAAAAGAATCAATACACTTATGGCTGATTGTAATAATTATTATTCAACCGCAATATTCCCATTAGCCACTTAATTCACTATGCATGTAAATTGCAATTCCATGGCTGACAAGTCAAAGTAAAGTAAGTGGTGAGGGCAATTTAAGATGGGGCACGACCGCATCAATATAATAGGAAAAATGCAGCTACTTAAGTAGATTTAAACGTCATACAAATCAATTATCTTCTTAAGGGCTCTTTAATATTACAGGCAAAAGCTGCTTACTATGTAATACTAAATGAATAATATATGTTTCAGGGAATTAATAAGACATTAACCCACCTTGTTGTCATGCATAAACTCATGACCATTGGGCTTGCATTCGTGGGAACGGATAACGTAACTGAGTCGATGTCGCTGAAGGAAGTTGTCAGTCACATCCGGTCCAAACCATACACCAGCTCCTCTTAAAGTGTTTGGGACACAGCCCATAGTGGCCTGTGGGTCACTCCACATAATGTCAAAGATCTGAAATATAACTTGTTAGATATATATTTCTATGAATAATATTATTCCTTATAACCTGCTGCCACTCGGTCTTGTCCAGTGGCTCGCCATCTGTAAGTGGTGGCCTTAAAATAGACACATACTAAGGGAAAAGAATATATTAAAAAAAAGTTCTTGATATCGAGGTGGTATACATTTACCTTGCCCCTGTCAATACTTTTGATAAGATCTAGGCTTGTGCTATCCGAGAACCCGCCATGGACGATTAACACTCGACTATTGAGAACGGAGCCAAGGGGAAGCCATCGGTAGACCTCGTCGATGAAGGCCAGAATTCGCTTGTGATTCCGCTGAGCGAAAGGTACACAGAAAAGATAGGTGGCAAGAAACAAAATTAAAATATTTTTCTTTCACATATAACATTTCATTAAATTAACTTAATTTACAATAATTTCTCACTGTGTAGTAACGACTAATCACCTTAAAGGATCTTTTACTTACAGGGTACTTGCTTTCCACCTCTCGAATAAATCCGTAGCGGGCATTCATAACACTGTCTTCATGGTTTCCCCGATTGAGGAAAACTGCCTGGGGAAAGGCCAAATAGAGTGAGAGGAGCAGCAGCAGGACCTCCAAGCCCCTCTTGCCCCTGTCCACAAAGTCGCCATTGAACACGTAAGGATTGGAAGATGAGGGAAGACCGTTCTATGGCAGATGATTGATGACTAATTTTAATACATCTAATTAACGAAATGAAAAACAATTTCCTACCTTATGCAGCACCACAAGAAGATCGTCAAGTTTTCCATGCAGATCCCCACAAACTGTAACTTGCTGAGAGACAGCCGTGGAAACTGGGGAAATATTGGGCAGCTGCTTTAGGGATTTGGCAGCTTCACGTAGAATTAGTGCCACATATTTTGGATGCAATCGGTTTCCCTGAAAAGTGATAAGTTTTTAAGATTAAAAATTAAAAAAATGTTTTAAAAGTTTACCCGTTTCTTGCGGAAGACGTCAATCAATAGATCGATATGGTTTTTTCGTATTGGCAACTCAATTTTGGCATTCACAATGTCTCCAAACTCTTCAACAAGGTCATCTTTTTCATCCAACACGGAAACTATAAATAAGATGTATTATATTTATAAAGAATTTTGAAACGAAGTCAGAGTTCTAACGGTGCGTGTCAGTGTGCCCAACACGTAAAAACATAAAAATTTCAAATTTGATCTAGCGCCATTCGTTTTAAATTTAACTAATTAAACATTACTTTTACAAAAATAAATTTAGATGCTAATGCAGAACTTTTTTCAATTACAAAGGACATTGAATGAGGGACATGAATTATCATAATGGATTAAGGGTAATCCCAACTCACCATGAGCAGATCCTTGGTACTGGTTCTTCCTGCCCGCAGCCTGGGGCATGTGCTTAATGAGGTCATTGAAGAATTTGTATAGCTATGGGAAAACAGAGGCAAATGAAAATAAATTAGCAGAGAGTGGGTCAACAATGCACTTGCGACAAAGTTTCACGGCTGAGTTGATTGCTATCGACTTTTGAAACTCTACAAATGCATTCGAATGACGTCGTCGAGGGCCTCTTACATTGGCCTCTTAAGCTTTCTGTGGCGCCTTAACCTACATGTATGGTAAGACATTATAAGGTATAGCCACTCCACTCACCTCAGCCTGGTCCTGTTCGCTGGCATATTCCAGGTTCTGGAAGATCTGCCAGTTGCAACGTCTCTGCATTTCGCGACGGGCTTGATGCCTGCGATACCATTTCTGTATGAATATTGCCGCTCGAATGGCTGCAAGAAATATTTTAAAAAAATTTAAAACTTCACTTGAAGACTAATAAACTATTTTATGGGGTTCTAAAAACATCGAGAGCAGCCTGCATGTGGTAGGAGGGGGCAAGTAATATGCAACATTTCCAAAGAGTTTTGTTATGGCCAATAAAGCCACTAGATTTTTGTGGCTGCCCAAGTTTTCCCCTTTGACATTTTCGCCATGGTCGCTTATTACTCACACAGTACGGAACAGTACAATATGGCACACTTAACAAAATACACATTTTAATCAGGGAATTTAAATTGGAAAGGATGCTGGGTCTTGGGGGTTTTGGGGATTCGAAATGATTACTCCCACAAAGTACTTGCCGTTCTCATCCATTTTGATGCAAATTTATTCGTCTGCTTGTTAATACAATGCTGAAAACGTCAAAGACTGTGGCAAGGGGATGGGGCAGATTGGGGTTTCTTTTCGGGCTAACAACTGATTAACATTTACGCAGCTATAATTATTTTTTATTTTCAGACGCTTTAAAGTCTTTACACACTTGTCTCTAGGTCTGCTGGCGAAGGTGTCCCTCTATTCTTTTTCAAATTTATGCAACCCATAAGACGGGGCCTTTATTAACATCCGTTGAAAACTGCTATCCGGTCGAAAATATAATTTAATTGGAGTTTACACAAATACCGAACTGAAAAGCATTCGAGAATAAATATTCAGGAACTTTCTCGTAAAGTTCTAGCTTAAAAACACAGTTCTTTTGCTTTCAAAACTTCACTTTAAATCACTTTCAAAGTCCCACAAAGTACATAATAGCCATGGTAAAAATCAAATTTAATGGAAAAACTTTATTTAATAAATTCTGTCAAAAAAATATCAACTAGCCATTAATGTGCTTTTCAGTAATTATCTCTTCAATTTCAATTTCACATCAGTTAAGTGAAGTTCTCATTAAACGTAATGGCCATTAGTCACATCAAATTTAAATTACAAATTATTAGTTTTTACTTGCAATACATTTTATCGAATCTATCAAGCAATTTATTTTAATTGAGCGGTTATTAAATTCCACTTTTGAAAAACATTAAAAGATAAGTAATTAGTTTGCGTAGGATTTTAACAGTGGTTTTTGCATAAAAATGTAAATTTATCCGTTGAACAAAAACTCAAACGAAAAACAGCTATCGAAGACTAAATGTTTTTCCTGACATTTAACATTTGTCCGTACACACTTGAAACAAGATAGACGACCGACTGGAACTGGAACCTAAAACTGCTCATTTCAAACGCTATACCCACGGCATTTTTCTTTGGCTTAAACGTTCTTTTTCAACTTTTACTGGTCACACTGTGGGACAAATTGCGGTTTCTAAGGGAACTTTGAACGGGACACCAAAATAAATATATGGGAAAAGAAATCGGGTATGGGAAAAAGAAAAACATTTGAATTCTTTTAAGGATATGACTTGAAACACATTTATTAAGAAAATCTTAAATGTTCTTTTTTTAACATCAAAGTTCTCTAAATACACCCACTGTGCTTTCCCCAATTACCTACAAAAAAGGAGAGGTCTGGGGCGATGGTAACCTTTTCCATTTCCAACTTGCGTCCACGTCCGCGTGCTTGTGGGTTAATTTCTGGCTGCGTGACTGGCTGAGTCTACTATGTGTTCATATATATGTATATATATTGCATATCGTATATATGTGGGTTTATAGTGGGGTTTTTCACTAATAGCTAGCTGTCCGGCCGTGGCATCTGTATGAGGTTTCTTTTTGTTTGTTCTTTCCCTGGCTATATGTCGTGTCTCCGGCTGTTTAGATCCACCTGAACCGTTTGTACAGCAAATTGGAACAATAAATAAAAGTTAGCGCAAGCGCCGGAACACAACCACAGACATTAAACAAAACAAAAAAACAAGTAGCCAAGTGTTTCAAAAGCCGGGCAAAAGGGCAAACTGCAACTGCAGTACAAGGTCCCCAAAAAACGTCTTTACTAAGTTGGCGACTATAAAAACACAAGTTCCAGCAACCAACGCGAGTGGTGGTAAACATAGTAATAAAGTTGCGCTTAACCCAGTTATTAAGTATTCCGGGCCACATGAAAATGCTAAGTGCTAAAATGTGTCCACACACGGGTTAAATTCTAGCAAAATTCGCCAACTTTTTAAGACTCTCAAGTTTGTACTGAAAGTTTTTGTTCCTACTTTGAGCTAAGAAAGCTTAAAGTCTTAGAAAATCAAACCTTTTACCAAACTGAGTGAGCTTAATCTTAAAGTTATTCAGTTTTAAACAAATTTAAAATGAAAAACAGGATAATTTCTGGTAAATTGGCTCTGAGCTTTAATATAATTGAATTGCCTTTTGCAATTTGGTGAAAGCAATACTAATCGGATTTTAGTTTTAATACGGTTTTGTATACTATGGCTGCAAATTAAATTTTAAATTTTTCCAAGAGGAATTAAGTTTGTGCTTCTCTTCATTTATGTTGATGACTCATCAACAATTTATTATTGGTGAAACACTAGCAGTCCCAAAGAAATATATTTCTAGGATTGGCTCGGCTATTAAGGTCTTATTTTAGTTTGGATACTAAACACAAGGGTTTTTGCCCTGGGGAGCTTTTACCATGTGGAACCCAGAGGCAATAGTAACTGGATTAGGTTTGTTGTAATCGTAAGTTTCATTGCCCGTTTCGCACAAATCCCCATTAACTAAAACTAGCCAATGTACACCGAGAAAAGCAAATGAGAACGGTTGAGAATTCAAAACCGAAAAATTACCAAGAACTTGACCCTCAAGTCTAAAAAGAAAGCATACTTTTTAGCGCATTTCAATCATTTCCTTAACTGGCTTAAAGATACTGATGTTTTTGGTTGGTTGTATATAGAAACTCTTAGCTATTATAGAGATCTTGTCTTGATACAGTTAAAAAATTGTACTCCCAACTTTTTATGAGTCCTTCTAGCCAACATTATCTCTAAGCTAAATAGATTTAGTACTCACTCTTTTCGGCACGGGAGGCGCTCATGCCCCGGAGCGGCTTGCGGAAGTGCTTGCACCAACCTCGCCGCTGGAAGAGCTGCAGCAGACTGGAGGCTCTGGTGCTAGTCTGCGCAGCGGATGTCTGCGGTTGTCCATTTGGCCCTAAGGTCTGCATGCTGGCGCCCACGCGCTCTATTTCCGATGACCGGCACGAGGAGGCGTCTTCCACGGAGGAGCTGCGCCGCTTCCCGTCATCGTCGGCGCGCAGGCAAACGCAGCTGCGTAACATTCTGGTGATTTTGTAATCCAAGACGTGACCCCAGTGCCACAACCACCACCCCCACCAGTAGCTTCTCCTTCGTCACCTGCCACCTCAGTGGAATCCACACATGGGTAACTATGGTGTCAGAGGGGAGGAGGTTGCCAAGAGGTCCGCCTTATGTCACTCGCCTGACAAGGTAATATAATTTGCACAAACGGCAGCTCATGGGCCAGCGCCTTGTTCGTCGTCGTCCTTCAGACTGGCTGTCAGTTGGTGGATGAGAGATGGTCTACGAGGTTCTCCAGGTTTTCTCGAGGGGACTTTGAGGGGTCTTGAGGCGTCCAAGTCCAAGTTGTCTGACGGGATGGGTCCGACGTTGGCTAGTCAGTCGTACGTCTCCGGCTCTTAATGCAAATTGATTTTATTTTCGCGTAATTTATTCATTTCGCTGTTGCTGATTGCGTTCCTCATATTTCCATTGTGCAAAATTCGCGTCTTGAATCGCTTTTTCCACTCAGCTGCAAATAAATTTCCAAAGAAAAATACGATGAAAGTGATTTAAATATTGTCGCAATTTGTCAGAGGAAAAACAAAATAAAATAAAAAAAACTTTTCCATTAACAGCAAATAAATTATGAAAGCTAATTTAACTTGAAATTAAGTTTATTCGCTGCAGCAATGAAATTCTGAACATCCATTATTATTATTTACTTGAACACATTATGATGTGGTTGGCCAACTCCTGATAATAATTATTGTTTATTTTGGCCATTATTATATGGCATATAACAAGGCCAATTTGATTGTGGTCAACATGTGTATATTTAGGCCATAATTACACAAGCAATTCTTAGTTAATGACCGAGGAATGCTAATTCTCATAAATATGAATAAAGGGATTACTAAGCAATAATGCTGATAGAATTTTCCCCACTCTGCTTTTTCTTTTAAGGGAAATGGAATGCAAAATAAATCAAATACGTGTATGACTATGTAGTTTCTTTTGGTGAAACGAATGAAAATTGCCAAGTAAAGAACTCAATTTGTTTGCTGTATCTTCTTCCTTAACATTCATGCCCAATAGAAAGTGTATATAGTATCATTCCGAACAATAGCCCCAATGAATCTGCCATAACAATATGCAAATTATGGTCGCCGAAAGCGAGACCAAGAAATATAATGCATGCATAGGTGATTACCAGTAAAAGGCAGGAAAAACATATGTAAAAAACGCCTTGATATTATGTATGGAATCAATTGAGTGCTTCAGGCCAAGGATAGCTATCCTGGTCAGGACGAAAAATCCACTCCATGTCCTGCATTTATGTATTCCCTTTGCTGCCCTCTAGTGCTGTGGTTTTGCCATGGTTGAACCATTCAACCGATACGCGACCACTATATAGTATAGATATGTATATAAGTTGAACGGATTGTGGGCGTGCGCTAGTGTGCCCGAGGTCCTTTGTCCTTTGTAGCTGTCAGCTTCTATGAAGCCAGAGTTCCCTTGAGTGGCTGCAGACAAACAAACCAATTTTCACCAATTGAGCCATAAAGCCACATGGACAGCCACACTCGCAGACAGCTCCTCCCACACCAGCCGCAGATCCACCGAGTGTGAAATTAAAATGCTAACCTGTAGCGGGACAAGGACCAAGGACCAAGGACCCATCCGTTGGCCGATGGTCCTAAATATAAAGGCAGCGTGAAAGGTGGTATTGATTAATCGCTGGAAACATAGTGCCAAATGGAATGGCCAGGAATTTATTTGCCAGAAAAGGATACTTCTACCATAATATTTTCCGCTGAAGCTTTGCAGATGCCACAATTCTTCTTCACACAGCTTTTGTAGGCTATGAAAGTGTTTTGGCTGCGAATTATTATGTTACAGAACATTAAATTTTATCTTCCTAATGTAATAACGCGGCCTTAAATGTTTTAATTTACTTAAAATTGCCTGGGAATCTAGTTTAAAGCTTGTATATGTGTAGAAGCTTAGCCTTAGGATAATCGCCTTTAATAAAACAATGCAATTGTTTATGCTGGACGATATAAATATTTTCCTTTAGGGCTTTAATAAATTTTTGTTCTACTGAAAAAGCTTGTCCAACATCCAGACAATGTAATTAGGGCAATTTGTCATGTCCATGTCTTTCTTAATTACAAAGATGTTTACAAAATAATCACATTAAAAGAAACTTAAAGCTCATAATCTTCCAAACTGCCGAGCTTTTCTAAGTAATCTCTTGCTGGTAATCTAATAACTTTGTCTTTGGTCTTTTATTTATTTCAAGTTACTACCAAAAATATATTCAACTATAAAACCTTAACAAAAATACTCCCCCATATAGATTGGCTGTCGAGTTTTCCAACACTCTATCACATTTTCTTTGAACTGTAATACTCATGCAAATTTCAATTATTACATTCTGTATCCGAAGATTGAGGAACTTAGGGGAACACTTAACTCCCACCCAGACGACAAAGAAATTGGCTCCTCACCGTTACTGCCAGGTAAAAATGTTTAGGAATAAAATACAAAAAGAAAAACCAATACACATTTTCACTGTGCTTTTTGCACTTTGGCCCCAATGGCACTTTTCGCACGAAAATTTCGTTAGGAAAAAAATGTAAATGTGGCGGGAAAACCAGGCGCGAGGCTTTTATCGAAATGTAATTTGTCTAAAGTGAAAATGACTTACAGCTTAAATGGCTTAAATTCTTTAAAGATTTTTTGGTCACTTTGTGTAACTTTGAAATTGAATATGGCAAAGACCCAAAATAATAAATCACTAGCGGGCAAGTGCTGGGAAATTTTAGATTTCAGAAGACCAAAAACAAAAAAAGGAAATATTTGACATAAATAGGTTGATAAATATGTCGTCAAGTTGGCTCCAATTTCTTGAGAAATTTGGCTTACTTATTTCAATTAGCCTAACAATTTTGTAAAAATATTCCCTGAATAGGGTAACGAATTGTGAATAAATTTATACTTCCAAATCAATGTCAATTCAGGCATTAAGCTGATTTGATGTTTTCCGCGAAATCATAAACGACTTACTGGTTTTTGCTTACTTTTGAATATAAGTTAACATTAACTTTTTCCGAGAATCAACCATTTAAGCCATTGATGAACCAAATTTAAGATCAAATCTGATTTATGGAAGGTTTCTTATTTGAAAAGCCCAATTACCTGCTAACTTTTACTTAGAAGGTCTTAAATTATAATAAAATAACGTATAAGATATCCTTAAATTTATAAAATTTAATATTATAAATATCATCTTAAGTCATCTCTCTTTGATATTAAGTCAACCAGAGGGTATAAGCCAATTAATGCAATTGGCAGTGACGGAAAAGGTTTTAGGCCAAGTTGATCGATTCCAAGAAATCGTAGTCCACTTTTAGGGGCCCAACAAAGCCAACTCTATTTATTTCAATTACCACAGGCTAGTGGCCAATTTCCTGCTTCCGGTCTGGCCTGCTGGTCGATGTCCGGGTGTCTCGGGTCAAGACAGCAAGATAATGAGATTATCCGCCAGCACATTTGCAGTCGGGAATACGTTATTTGTCCATTAATCCGATGGCAAAGAGCAGAAAACGGACACTGGCTGTAATGGTCCGTCCTGCCAACTCATCGCCACCCATTTACCCGCCACTCATTTTCCAGCATTTTCCTTCTCCAAGTGCGTGTATGTGGAGCGATCAAAAAATGATTGTTGGCCTGACTCAATTACGATAAATTGCACGTCAGCCTGTGTGACAATCAGCAAATTTGCCCGCATTTCTAGTCCGCAAACATCGCTTATGAAGGAAGCCCAGCAGCAATTAAGTTAGTATTTACAGAAGATAATGTTTCAACTTGGAGTCGGTGGCTGCATAAATGTATGGGTAAACAACAATGTCTATAATATATCTCATATATCCTATGGGAGTGAACCCGAAAAGGGCAAAGATAAGCCCTTTGCGGTTGACCTTAGTTTTCCCAACAGGGAATTTTATGTTTGATTTACAGAAAATGTCATTAAATAAATTTAAGAGAGGTTTATTATACATACCAGAATTTAAGTTTAGCTTAATAAACAACATGAAAATGTACACAAACTATTAATTAACATAATAAATTAAATGCAACCATAAAGTAGCTTTAATGGCTTTCGAGCAAAGAGAAAAATAATCAATATCAAATAAATCAGCCAACATAAATTAAAAACTTTCTGGTTAAATACAAATAAATTGTTTGTTAAGCTTTTTTTTATAATTAAGAGATAGTTTTTCTGTACCATAAATATTATTTTAAACAAATGGATAGATAACTATTTGATTTTAATTTGAAACTCTTAGAAACTTCACCTTTAAAGTGAGCTCCATTAAGGACCTCTTCCAGAGTGCCTCACTAATATGCTTTTATTTCCCACCCCATGGAAATAATTGAGCTAATTATCGGGGAACTCACAAGGTCAGTCATCAAATTTGCTCACTCAAATTCTTCGACAGGTAATTTAGTTTGCCTACGTTTTTAATTAAGTTGCCGTAGTTAATTTGGCGCGGGCACGTGCATATCTGGTGAAAGGTAACAGGAATACATGTAGGAGATCCCAAGGACCTGTAAGGATCCAATATTGGCGCATCACGCTCTGGCCATAAAGGTATTCCCTTTAATTTTGCAGTTTTACTGCTTGAAGTTCCTCCAGTTTTTGGTGGATGCCCCATTAACGGGGCGAAGGTTTTAACGACTTTGAAATGATGTCAGCTCGGATGCTGATGTTCGTCATCGTTAAGGGCCGATTTGTTCGTTTTTATTTATAAACCAAATTGGGAATTAACGCAGATTGGGCCTCGGGAGCCTCGACACCTACAGGCCATATGGACTAAAATTTGCAGCCAGCTGTGAGAACCATGATTTATTCAACTTAAGTACACTCAGAAAACGAAGAGTTTTACCTTACAAAAGGGGGTAAAAATAAAAATCCAGTATGGTTTAAAAATTTACTGAAAGCGTATTTTTAAATATGTATAAGCCTGATTGCATCGTTTATGTGGCAATTCGTTGAGTGAGGTTTTCAAAAGGAAAGCTTTTATTTTCTTTTTATACCCGATGACTACACAATTTGAGAAGGATGCGATGGAAAGGTGATTTGGTAGAATTTCAAGAGAGCTGTAAAAGTGAATCTGAACAGGAAAACGTTTATGGCTGTGCCGTGCGATTATGTGGAAATGGACTTTCAGTACTTAGATTTGATGAAACTCATAAGCCAGCTCAGCTAGAACTTTTGGCCCAGTGTAGACCCCAAAAAAGTGAACAAACACTGCGGCTTAATTGCCATGGAAAAGTATCCAAATACCGACCCGATGCCTTCGTTTTTTGGCCAACAAATCAGGCGTGAAAATGACGGCACCTCGCTCCATGGGGGGTTGGCAGTTAAACTGCTTAATTTAATCGATTTTCGTTAAGAGTTTTAAATTTCTTATCTTGTTTGGCAAAATGTATGGCAGTACGGGTCGTTTGATGCGGGTAATTCGTCAGATGAAGATTGCTTGATATTCTGTTCAGGGTGTTCTTAGTATGCTGCCTATTCGAGGAAGTTTTAGGGATTTGCTTTTTTAAAAAATCCTTCTTTAAAGTTTATAATTTAATTAAAAAGAGTTAATTACTTAAAATCTTACTATCTTACATTCTTGATCCGCTTTAAAAACTCCTTTCCTTAAACTTCTAATTCTAATGCATCCTCAGGAATATTCCCCAAGCATCTTGGTTAATAGCCTTAAGCTAATTGCTTTTTGGTTTTAGCCTGATTCCCGTGGACTGGTGAATGAAACTTTTGCACAATCAACTTAATTCAAGCCGACATTGTGGGGAGTATCTTGCCGCAACTTTGTGCCCCATTTAAATGACTCGAACGTGGCATTTCGTGTTAAGAAAACACCAGAAACAAGGCAACTTCAAGGAGCTGTTTTGGCACTGTTCCGTTGACCGTGGAAAATCGAGGATAAGCTTAAGAAAAGCCATAACAAAAAAAAGGAAATATATATATAAAAAAAATTAAATCGGAAGTGGTGAGAAATTTCTGGGGGCTGCTGGGGTGTCGCCCCAGAAAAGAAGCCGCCGGGAATTCGTGCGAAAAAAATACAAAAATAAAAATAAAAAAAAAAAATGAACAGAAGAAAAGAACTCAAGAAAACTGTGGGAAAAATAAACGAAATCACGAATATAATACACGTAAAGTCCCGAGGAAACAAAGGGAGCGTAAGGAAAAGGCTGGAAATCAAATGCCAAACGTCAACGAGATTTGTTGCCTGTGTGCGGGGCACATATAAAAACTCATTCTCACTTTTACAACCACTCGGAGGTGGGCGGATTGCTAATCCTCCGCCGGTCGGTCCACCATCAATTGGCCCCCGAATCCGAATGGGCAGGTTGCCCGAATTATGAACGTGGAACAAGGTATAAGACCTAATAAATTCCAACTCGGATTCAATCCCCAATCCAATTCATACGTGTCCGTGCTTCGGTTTTTATGAACACCTCAATTTCGGGTTTACTTTTTGTATGCTAACAAATTGCGTTCATGTTTAGTTGGTTGCTATTAGTTAGGCAGACAGCAAAGGATATGGGTATGCCTTAATAATGTTACGTCTTTTAATTGGTACACAAATTCGGCATACAATAGAATGATAAGTTCGTTAGGAATAAGTGAGTGAAAAGATAAATAAATTCTAAAATATTTACCACATAAGAAAGAGATTTAATTAGAAAATTTCCTTAAGTAATTAAAAGCTTTCTGTCTTGGATAACATATATATTGTGTTGAAAAAATATATATTTATCCAAGGAAAAATATGATATTAAATTGCTTTCCCGGCACACTATAAATCATAAAACATTTTCAGACACCAAGCGTATTCTTTCAAAATTCGTGCACACTTTAGACCGCTTTTATTTACATATTTTTCTTTTAGTCAGCCCGGCTAAGTCTTTTGTTATGGCTTTCTCGTGTTTGTTTTAGAAAGACTGCACTTGTCTGTCCTCATTTTCCCTAAAAAGTTCGCCACCGTCAAATGGGCAAAAGATAGGTCAGAAAAATACACATACTTATTGCCTAAGACAATACTTGTCGTGGCTAATACATATTAAATGTATATAAACAGGCAAATGGATAAATGGAATGTGCAAATATTGCGTTTTCTCGTGTGGAATACAAAATACAATAACTAATTCATATGGCAAATACCTTTTGGTTCGGTAATGGAAACGTTTATCTATTATTAATTGGCTGCAAGTTTTGTGTTTTTTTTTTCGTCTGCTAGCTGTCATCACCTTAAGTTTTTCTTATTTCTTACTTTTATTCCATGAAGACCATTCTGACTGCTCTTGTTTTTGGCGGACATGTGAACATATTTTAAAATTCATTTTTACACTGAGAAAAGTTGTTTTTAAGCTATCGAAAATGAAAATCTTTTAAGCTTAATTAAATTACTCAAAGCATTAAATTTTACATATGCATATTTACAGCCATTAAATGTTATTTTTGAATTATTGCTGTCAAGTAAACCACCTCAAATATACTATGTCAATAGGTGGTAAAAGATGAGTAATGTTACAGAGTCAAAAATTATGCATAAACTTAACAAAAATTTAAATAAATTAGAAAACTATTTGCAAGGCACCATAATATTATAAACAGGTGGTAACATTTTGATTAATCGAATTATATGAGAGCTATTAATAAATCGTTCACATATAATTAAAGCCGGCAAACGCAAATAAATAAAATTTCTTATCGAAAACATTTAAGACAGAAAGCCTTTTAAAAAGAACAACTTCATCCTTATTACACTTTATACATCTCACTTCTGCGTCAAATCTAGATATATTTTAATGTCAAATTTTCTTAGCACCTTTTATCACCGTGTACCACTGATAGATGAACTATTTATATATGTTTGGAACGTATGGGAATGCATGTTCTTTCGCATGTATATTTTCGAGTATTTCCCATCCGTCTCGCCAGTGGACTTTAGTTTTTTTTCTGATCCCATTTAATGCACGGTATTTGTAAGTAATTTACCAAAACGACGCAACAAATTGAGGAGCGCGGAATAAAAAAGCGATTCGGTTGAAAAGTTTTTGTGTCGGCACTAAGGATGTGACTATATCAATGACCATGCCACCATCCGAGGCACAAGTGGCACAAGTAATATAACATAAAGGCGTGAGCGTAAACAAACACAGAAATTTCATTGGGCCAAAAAGAGAGATAAACTCTGATGACAATAACGGCAAAAATATATATACATATGTATATATAGAGATGGCGGCAAAAGGCATTAAATGAAGCCACACACAAAAATGCTCAAATGGTGACAGATATAAAACCAGAAACGAGAAAAAAACACAGGCCAAAAAGGGGGGAAACCATAAGCATATGCTGCTGCTATGGATCGGAAATAGCGCGTTCTGTTGCGGAGAGCATTACGTATACGTACTGGTGTACGGTGTACGGCTATCGCGTTCTGTTATTCGGGCGTCCGTGGCGCGTGGAATACCGTTACAAACTGAACACAGCAGGCCACAAGCTCGGAAATCCTTTTTGGCCTCTGCCGCAGTCGCTGTCGCAGTTGCTGCTACCGTTAACGTCGCTGCCATCCTCTCATTCTCACCTACTCTCAACACTTGCCGCTGCCATGCTGCCCAAAAGCAAAACAAAGAGCGTTGGCCGCATCAGCTGATTGCCCCGTTTCATTGCCATTCCCGTTCATTTTGCAGCGGAGGCTGCGCAAGGCTCTCTTGCTCTCTCCCACGCATTCCATGTACACTGAAAGAAAAATGATTTTGATCAATGAATAGTAAAGACTATAATGCCTGAGATTATATGCAGAAAATCTAGAATTTCTATTCTTTTATCTTATATTAAAAATAAGTATAAGCTCTACTATTATATCGATCTAGCATCCTAGTATCTTTGGCAAAATAATATCCCGAATAGAGAAAAAATATTTTCCTCTGTGCAGCCAAGAGAGCGATGCTAATCCTAAGATACTAAGTTTGATAACGTCTCTCGTGTTTGCATTTCGAATTTATGATATGCATCTTTCAGTTAAAACTTCAACCAGACGTGCCGCTTGTGTCGGTTGGTTAAAAAAATAAGAAGAAAAAGCATGTCTAAAGGAGGAATCAACAAAAAGCCATTAAGTCTGAATTATTTTTAGATTAAAGAAGTAGAAGTTTTGTGAGAACATACATTTTTAATTTAACACTTCCCGCCAAAATTACCTTGTCTATAGACCGTGTTTAAGTGATAACTTCTTTCATAGCCTTTGCAAAGGAGTAAATATTTTACTTTAACTCATTCAATAACATTTTTAAAATATTTTATATAATTTTGTTTTATGTCTTTTTATTAATATTTATAATTTTTTAAAGTGTTTCCATATATTCATGTTCCCTTTACCATATCAACCTATTTTTTCTGACACCTGTTTGATGACAATAAATTATTAAGAATGATGGTCCCCACCAGCAAACATTTTTTCGGCAATCCTTTTGAAATTTACTGAAATTCTTACACACAAAGTACAGCTTTGTTTTGGTTCCTTCCTTGTATATTGATTATTTCTTTGGTTCCGTGGCCTTTCTGGGTATCGTATATGTATATGGATAGTCCCAATGCCGCCAAGCCTTCAGTTGGCCACTCGGTGTGATTTTGGGTTGCGGCCTCGAGGGGCTTTTGTAGCTGAAATTCACGAAACCAAAAATTAGGACTGTCCCCAGCTCCTTCACGCTGACCCGATTTTGGGTTTTCGTCGGCCGGTGCTTTAACTTTAATGGCAATTAAGGTTTTGGGCGGGTAACCCGCCATTAGTGATTACAACGACGGAATGTTTTGGGCCCACTTCGAATTCAGTTAGCGAAGGTGCGTGCCACCCAAGTTTCCGTTGCAGTTGGTAAAGTTTCTTCTTTGCACTTCATGAATACAAACAAGCCGAGCGAGATGAAGATACATTGCCAACCAGCCATTCAGGAACTAATCCCTCCACGGATACGTTCTCCTTGAACTGGCTGGGGAAGTTCGAAATGCTTCCGATATACTCGTACATGTCGATTCAGTTACGGATTAGTTAGTCCCCCGGGTTCCAAGATTGGTTGTTCGTTCCACATCCTCTCTTCTTGGTAACTCTTTAAGCCGGAAGGATTTGTGTTAGTAGCACAGTTTAGCTGGTTCGTATAAAGCACAAACATAAATTATTGAAAGCCATGTTTTCTGTTTATAGAAGAAAGATTTGTATCTGAAAATTTGTATCTCCAATTGAAAAAACAAAATTATAAAATGGTTATTCGATTTTTCAAATTTTCTTTATGCCTTTCAGAATTTTTATATTTCTTTCTTATTTGCAAACACGTACAGTAAAGTATTTTCCTTTCTTAGCATGTTTTTCCCATCATCACCATATAACCCGTATTTACCTTGTCCACCGATATTGAAATCCAAAAGACACGTCCAAATACAGCCTTCAGATAAAAGTGCAGGGAGGTGCAAGTACAAAGCACTCGTGGGTTTCCGAAAGGTCGCGTGTCCTCGGCGCTGTTCTTATTGGCATCCTCATCCGGTTCCGCGCACTGTTTTGCATATTCCAGTACTAATGGCCGGTTGGCCGCACGCCACACTCACCTGATGGGGTTGGGTAGTCAGGTGGGAGCTCCTTCGTGCCGGCATGCCATTTAAAAACATCCCATAAACATTTTGCGCTCACTATTTAAAAGGGCTGCATGCGAATTTTTAGCAAACACAACATCAAAGTTCAAAAGTGGCTAACTTAATTAATATAATGTGTAGCGCAATAATAGAATTTGCAAGGTCCTTGACATATGGTGCAATAAAATTTTTTAGGACAAGGAAACAATGAAACAAATTCTCAGTGCTTTAATTTATAAATTACTATATGTTATTCAGAGTATTTGGGACATCTTTATTTTAGGACTGTCAGTACTTTAACCTAAGTACACAGCACTTTCAGCACGCATTGGTCTTTAGTTGACACCTGTGCATGCCAAGAGTCTCTCCTGACAGTCCTCACATTTACTAAGTCAATTAGTGCAAGTGAAATGCTAATTAAAACCATTTTAAGTATAGTTGCAGATGAAATGAATGTCCAGTAATTACTAAGTGTTTTAACAGCCTTTTAAATTTAATGAATCATAGTATTACTTTTTATGTATTTTTTTCTAATATTTTTTTAGTTTTTGGTTACACATTTTATTTATAATTTAATTTACAAACCATGTCAATCCCTTAAATAAATAATAAAATTGATATATAGTGCACCTAAGACTACATCACAAGTGGAGATCGTTGAGACCAAGCGATGTGTTTGGATCTTCCTCCAAAACATTGTCAAAATCAATAATGATACTCTTCTGTTGAGGGAGGTGTCGTTTATATTCCACTCCTACTGCATCTAACATCCGCTTGGAAGCCTGGTACGTGGGCTTTTCTGCATATTTGTCGGACAAGTAGAGAACTTGAGAAATGCCCACCTGGAAAATGGAATAAAATATAAGTGTCAATATACAAAATATAAACGCAAACATTTTTTCCAGTGTACATACTTGGATTATGAGTTTGGCGCATTCGTTGCAAGGGAATAGTGTGGTATATATACGAGTTCCAGTCAAACTCATGCCGTTGCTGTTTAGAATCGCATTGGCTTCCGCATGCACTACGAACATCTTTTTGTCCTTCAGAGGATCATAATCCTGTGTCCCCTTTTTGGCCTTTGACCAAGGGAACTCGTCGTCGTTGCAGTTTCGGGGGAATCCATTGTAGCCAATGGCCACTATACGATTCTGTGAGTCCACTATACAGGAACCCACTTGCGTCACCGGATCTTTGCTACGCTTTGCGGAGAGCAGGGATGTGGCCATAAAGTAGTCATCCCAGTGAAGGTAGTCCCTTCGCTTATGGTTCACAGGTGACTCCATCTTTTGGCTATTAGGACATTCTTCAGACATTTTCACTAAAACAAGTAGAGGAAAGCGGTTAGAGAACGAAAGTTTTCGTTTGATCGAATTTATTAAGACGGAATATTGTTAATGCATTACTCAGATTATTCTTACATATATCTAAAACCGCTTCAGTTCTACAATCATAAATACTTTACAATGTACGTTTTATTATTTTTTATTTCCATAATCATTTCAATGAATGTTATACAGACATATACAAAAGTCCCATTGACATTTCCAACACAAGTATAAATATGATTAAAATAAGTTATATGTATGGTGTTTTATTAGCGATAAGGCCAATAAAAACGTTGTATTAAACAGGTTTCAATAATGTTTTTTAGAGAGTAATAATTAAAATTACTAACAAGAAAACCGGAATTGATTTAACATGTGTGAGCCACTGAATTGAATCCCAAATTGTATTTTTCAAAACAAGAGAGAAAAATAATTTAGTTGTCATATCTTCAGTTTTATTTTTCATTTGTTCTTTTTCCTAACTTTTTTATGTCGTTTTTTTTTTTTTTTGTTTGGTTTTGCATTTTGTGTGATGGGTATTTGATAGTCAAGGGAAGCAGGACAACTGTGTGCACATTCTTTATTGCATTCATTAGACAAAACGATGATCGCAGCTATGTTTCAGCAGCAATAATAATATTTTTATGTATCATAAATTGGAATATACAGCGAATACTTTCAATAATAATTTTCATATTCAACTCAATGTGTGGTTAGGCGAGTGCGTAATTAAAACTACCTAGGTGCCCTTCTGCACCTGGATGGGATTCTGCTTGAGGTGCAGGTAGATGGATCGCATGCGGGACACATCCTTGCCCGCCTTGTTCACCTTGGGATTGAAGTCGCACAGCTTGGCTATGCGCTCCCACTCGGTGCCCGGTTCGATGGTGCCGTTCTCCAGAGTGGCGGCCTGCTTTTCGGCATTTCGGGACGCCAGCTTGGTCTTCGATATGGACTCGCCGATTTGACGCAACCAGTCATCCAGTTCCTTCTTGGACTGCTGTCGCAGCTCCTCCTTTTTCCTCTCCTCCTCGATATCCTTTTCCTCAAGTCGCTGTTTCTGCTCTTCGCGCCACTTGCGTATCTTTTCGGGCTCTTCCCGGGAGGGTGGGGGACCGGATATACCGACGGGTTCATTAGACTCGCCGCCAATGACCTCAAAGCTGCCCGTTGAGGATTCTAGGCCACCGGTGCCGCCTGCTGAGAGTAGATCGCCTTCGGAAGTGGTAGTGCCTCCTCCGCCAAGAAGCTCCCCCAAGCCCTCATCTGTGGGCGCGGCAGCTGGTGCGGATCCCCCCGTAATCTCCGCCTCCAAATCACCAAGAGCCGACTGTTCGCGCGCCAGGAACTCGGCCGCTGGATCCACCTCCTCCTTGGCTGCGAAATCGTCTCCAAAGTCCATGGCGATGTGCTCTCTGGAAATGTTGTGATTACAATTTAGTGGGCGTCTCACCCAGATTTACACGTACGCAGAGGAGCAACCAGCTGCGAGCGGTTTTCCACTGGATTCTTCGGCTCCCGGACACTACGCACCTCTCCTTTGATTCGGTTAGACCTAAATGAAGATCGGTGTGGGCGGATGACTAACCGGAAATTCGGGCAAATCTATTTTTTCAGTTTTCTTTTAGCAATGAATACGTAAAATGACTGTCATTAGTACGTGAACCAACAATAAACCAGCAGGTTATCGAACCGGTTCCGCAGGCCAGTATTGGAAAATAGCACACATATCGTAAGGCGAATAAGGTTTTTCTTTTTTACATATACTTACTAAATATATAAAATAAAAACTTAAAATACATATTTTCAAAGTATTCTTTTGAACTATCTTAAATAAGTAGTTCCGCTTCAGCAGTATTGGTTAAGACATAGAAGAAACATAAGCACAAGAATTGTCTGTTTTATTTTAAAATTCTAATAATTTTCTAAAATTCTAACAATTAAATTCCATTTGACGACCCAATAAACATCTCTTGTTTTAATGATTCATAAATCCCTTAATTTTTTAAACCAAAAACAATTCTATCAATAAAATTCAAATTGACCGCAGGGGCTTATATACTCGGTAAGTGTTGGAAAATGTGAAAGTAGGGGTGGATTGTTTGGCTTTTAATAAAGTTTAAAAGAAAGTATGGTTAAATAAATACTAATTAGATATATCTTTGAAATTATTTTAAAATAATGTTAATATTTTTTGCAGAATAACAAAAGTGCATTTTCCACTGGGTTTTTTGTATCAACTAGTTCACTTGATTAGTGTTAGCTAGCGCGCGAGTGGAGTGAATACAGCTTGGAGCCGAGTAGCGATTAAATTGTTTATACTTAATCAAATGTGCCTTAATCACTGCTCATAAAATGTAAATAACCAGCATAGTTAACTTTTTGATGGTAAACAATAAAATAACCGAGTTAGAGGCCACGGTAGGGTATTATACAACACTTGTGATTATGGCACACGTGAATTTAGTTATTGTCAAACTCCTATTTGTTAGTTATCCCTAAAATGTAAAAGGACATGATATATCACTAACCTGTTGGACAAAAAATAAACACGAATTCAACAATAATTTTCGAAAAACCAAACAGTGGACAGAAATGCAAGTGACAACGGGCAATACAAACAATAAACACTCGCCGCGCGAACTAATGAACCGGTGAACTAGTTCACCTTGGCATTATTCACCTGAGCCAGTAGTTCATTTTTCACTGGCAGCAGAGCGGCCATTTTGGAGATTGTTTCATCCACAAAAAAGTTATGCACCGTATCTAAAAAAAAACGTTGCGCCCGAAATTAAACATAAAATCCGCTCGTGCATATTTGGAGCGTTGTGTGCAGTTCGATCCGATGTGAAGATAATGCTGGACCCGAGCAGACCTACAGTCCCGATTCTATAACGACTAAAAGTTAGTGACTATCTTCCAACACGCACGCATGTACGCCCGTGTGTGTGAGTATGTGTTTGTGTGTGCATGGATACATATATGTACAAGCGGAAAATACGGGCAGAAAATCCTATTCCTAGCCCAGAAAAACATTACCAAAAACATAAAAAACCCTGCAAATGTGATTGACACGAAATTGATAAGTTAAAAGTGAGCATCCAATTAACCCATTATCACCGGAACGCCCAAAAATGCGGGCTCCTCTCCAGACGAGCGCCAAGACACAAAATACAGACGCCAAATTTTTTGAAGGGGGAACCAAGCGCATCGTGGCCAAAAGGGATACAAAAAAAAAGGGAAAAAGTAGGGGGAAACAATGAGTGCAAAAAAGTATGGAAACAAACACCCCAGTTCCTGCTTTTAGTCGCATTCTCACTGTTATTTGGAAAATCATTTATTTTTCAAAACAAAAACATTAGGATAAACAAATTAAAGGCTTTTTAAACAATAAATTTAAACTTTAAATATATAATTAACTGAAAATTAAAAATTTCAAAATATTTCATAAAATATTATTTAAAGTTTTATTAAAAGCTTACCTTTTTATAATATGAAATTTCTTATCTAATCCTTTTCCAATAGTTTAACACAGAAAAGGAGCCTTTAACTAAATTAATGCGTAGATATGCTTTATTTCCAATTCGCGCCATTTATTGAGTAATTAATAAAATTAATTAATTGGCGCGATAATAAAGCACGTCACATTACATACATACATAACCAAGTTTTTATCATAACATGATACATAAACAATTCATAGTTTGTTAGTATTGGCGCAATAATAATAAATAGCATGTAAATTTTCTGTTTCTAGAAATATCTCTCAAAGCAAAACCAATTAGATAAATCTGGGATACAGTGAATATAAAACTAAGAACATATCAATCATATCCCAATTAGCAGATATTCTTAAATATTTACTTAATGTTTCCGTATTATCTGCTCTTAAATAACAATACGATATGACTTTCAGTTACCAGCCAGCAGCAGTAGAAGTGTCCAAGCCAACCATGGATCCCAACTCCAGTCCCTGGTCGTACGCCTACAACCGCATCGTGCCAGCCAGCGCCGGCAGCTCCGGCGGAACTGCGGAGGACTTCCAGCATCCGCATCTGGCCACCATTACGGCAGCTAGCATCGCCAGCTTCAATGCGGCGGCCGCCAGTGGTGGCAGCTTTGTGCCTCCGTCGCCAATTGGCAGCTACAACCCAGTATTCCAGCAGATATACCACCATGCGGCGGCGGCCAGTGTCCAGCCAAAACCCGCCCACTATGCCTCCTCGGCGGTAAGCACGCCGCACCGCCAACTGCAGCTGCCCAGCTCGCTGGACAAACAACTCAGCTCGTTCCAGAATCAGGCTGCCGTATCGGCAGCTGCGGCTGCTGTGGTGAACAATGTGGCCTCTAATTATTATGGGGAGAACTCCTCGTCGAGTGGTGCCTCACCATCGCCCACAACGGTGGCGCTGACGTCGACGTCGCTGAGCTGGAATACGCCGAACATGATATCGAACACCTTCCTCGCCATGCAACAGCAGCAGGCGCAGCAGCAACAGCAACAGGCGCAGCAGCAACAGCAACAAGCCCAACAGCAACAGCAACAGGCGCAGCAGCAACAACTCAACTTGGTGGCCGACAAAGTGGTGAGTAGGATTCTTTTGTTTTCCGTTTGGCTTGCAGATCACTTTACTCTCAGAAAACTAGCTTCTGGGGAAGCACACCCACCCACACACATACACATTAAAACCCCCTGCAGGTTCTATCGCATTTATCGCATACTAACATAACATCCCCCCCCTCAATCAACCCATTAAAGCTTAGACTTAGTCTAGCCTCTCTATGTCGAATCAAACCCAAACCAAACACTTTCCGATTCCGATTCAATCTATGTACGGTGCGCTGTAGCAGATTAAGCAGGAAAAGCAATTAAAAGCCTACAACGACTCGATTTACCTGATCCAACTGCAACAACAGCAGCAGCAGCAACAGCAGGCGGCGGCGCAGCAGCACCAGCAACAGCTCCAGCAGCAACTGCAGCAGGAAATCGTCGAAGCGGAGACGGAACCAGAAACTTACTATACCATCGATGGCCGGAAGGTCAAGCTGTCGCGGAAGGATGGCCAACAGTTTCGGGCAACAATAGTCGAGCAGCAGGATGGTAGTCCGGTGCCGCTGGCAGTGCCAGTTCCGGCTGGTTCCTATCCGGCGCAATATGCCAGTCCAGCGCTAAGCTCCGCAGATGGATCGCCCATCACGAATTTACATGCGGTTGACGTGGTTGGCACACCGCAGGCCCAGGTGATCGTCTATAAGACGGCGTCCCCGGTTCAAAGGCGGTCAGAAGCAGGCGCTGGATCGTCTGCAACATCCACGCCCACCACGGTGGCATACTCATCTGTGATACAAAGCACCCTGCAGCAGCAACAACAGTCGAATCTCTGTTGGACAAAGCTGGAGGATGATAGTGCGGGGCAAGAGGACATCAAGAACGTATTGCACCTGCAGGTGAAACAGGAGCAGCGCCAGCTGGACTTTGCCAATGAGGCATCCACAGTGGACGCTGGCGGTGGTGGCGAGAATCTAGTTTTCAATCTCCCGCCCGGTCTGGAAATCAAGCAAACCTTCTATCCCGCGGGCGTAGTCGATGGGGAGCAACTGCAGCTGCAGGAGCAATCCCAGTCCGCTGGGCGGCGCCAGCACGTGGTGGCCAACATGATCATGTCGCCGGCAGCGGGCAACTTAGCGTCACAGATTCAAGTAGTGCCAAAGGTTTGTATGTCATTTGTTTTATTTCCGTTTCTATTTGTTTATTTTGTTTGTGTTCTGCCTTTATTTTGGTTTGTTTGCTTATCGTTCTATTTTTTGCTAAATTATCTATCAAGTCAAATAGATTAGTTTAAAAACGCTCTAATCGATTTTTATTATCTAAAACATCTGTGTAGAGCTTTTTAGATTTTCTACCTTATGCTTATTTTATTAAAATACTGCTAAAATTCTTGCTTTTAATAATCATTCTAAGTTAAAAAGAGATTTTAATTACTCTGAAGCATATTTAACTTGGTTTTTCGAACTGTTAAAAATTTTAAGATCTATGTATCTAATTTTTTTTTTGTTAATACGCATGGATTACGGTTATTTTATATTTATATATTTGTATTTTGGTGGAAGCTTATCCCTTTTGGCCTTTGGTTATATGCTTTATTGGAATTATTCTGTTGAATCTAACAAAAATGACTTCAAATAATGCTAACTAATTCTCTAATTTAAATTCCTGTGGCCACGTTGAAACTGTGACGTTATGTTGTAATGGTATGATCCAATTTTTAATGAGGGTAAACCCAAGAACCAAACCGCGTATGTCGCTCGCAGCCCGTTGTTAAGATCCTATAAAATGCTGTGGAAGCAGCTCGTTGTTTACCAGCCAGTGTATATGTTTACCAATCGTTTTTAATGTCCCAATGTCCAAGCTATTGATAGTGTGCTTATAATATTTGGAAATGCCGAGTGTTCTAATCCACTTTCTTTCGAAACTTGCTTGCAGGAGGAGGTAAAGCCGCCGCCTAAACCAGCGAAGACTCCGCGCAAGCGCCAACCGAAGAAAACGCTCATCCCCAGCAGCAGCGACTATGGCAATGTGCGCAGTCCACAGGAGCCGCAGCATCACCAGTTGCAGCAGCAACAGCAACAACAGCAGCAGCACAATCAGCAACAACAGCAACAGAATACGTACTACGACTTTAACAGCAAGTGGAATACACCGCTCAAAACGGAAAATAATGCGGCATCCGTATCACCGGCGGCCACCATCAACATACCTACATATCCGCAACAGAGTCAACAGCAGCAACACCAGCAGCAGCAAGCGCAGCAACAACAGCAGCAACACTTGCCGCAGCCGGCCCACCTGCAGTCCTCGCAGGCCCAGTCGCACTTAACCCAGTTGGCGCAATACTATCCAGCCTTCCCCCAGCCCATTGCCTCCCAGTACACGGCGTGCATGCAGCAGCAGCAACAGCAGCAGCAACAACAACAGCAGCAGCAACAGCAGGCGGCCTACACGCAGCAACAACATCAGCAGGCATACACGCAGCAGCAGCAACAACAGGCGCAACAGCAGCGCCAGGAGAAGAACGAAGCCACCCAGCAGCAAGAGGATGAGGCGAACGCCGCTGCAGCGGCGGCGGCAGCAGCAGCGGCAAGCAATAAGGTTATTGTGCCGAATATCGAGGAGGAACTGGACTTTTTGGCCGATGCCACAAGTGCACCGAAGCAGGGCTACGCCAATTCGTTGTCGAGCAATGGACGCGGCACCAATTCCTCCACGAATAACACCAACTTTGGCATACGTAATCCAAACAAGACCCCGTCTCCGGAGCCATCTAACTGCCAGCCCAATACGCATGCCGCTAACAACGGACATGGTCATTCAGCAGCCACGCCCGCGACGCCTTCAACCAGTGGAGCCAGTGCACCCACGGCGTACAGTCCTGCTGCTCCTAAGCCTGTGAGCGTGGGAACGCTGATTGGGGAGAAGAAGACTCAATTCATGGATAGTTATTTGAAGTTTCTGCAGGGCGAACGAGACGACGATCCGCCGCCAGTAGTGAAGCCATCGCGGAAATTAAACTACCCACGAGCTCCGTACAAGCGAAAAGGAAAAGGATCTGGTAGTGGGGGCGACGAACCCACTACATCGCAGGCCACCCAATCGGCGGGGGATGCCGGCCAGGCGGTCGATGGACTCGCAGGACTTGTGGGTGATGATGGGCATCGCATCAAAATACTCTCGCAGACGCAAATACTTCCCAAAAAGCGTCCGCACGCCCAAATGGTGGCTGCTGCAGCCGCGGCGGAATCAGCACCTTCGTCGTCGGTGATCCAGCAGCCAGGGGATCAGACCTCCTTCCGGCCATACGCCCAGCAGCAACAGCAGGCGCAACAGCAACAGCAGCAGCAATCAATGAGCGGACAACATTTTGTGCAGCAGCATTGTGCCCAACTGACAGCTGGAGCGGGTCAAGGTATGTTACTTGACCAACAGCATAGTACCAATAAGCACTCCACTATCGCTACTTCCACGCCATGCAACAACTACAACAACAACAACAACAATCACCACCACACGCCAGCCAGTGCGAATGCTACAGTGAATTCGAATTCAACAACGCCAACGCCAGCACCAGCGCCGAATCCTCATCACTTTATAAATCTGCTGTGGCCATGGCAGCACTAGCGGCCGCCAGTAGCAGCAGCACCACCCACCCACGCAGCACCACCACCACCCACACCACACGGACAGACAGCCAGACGGACAGACTAGCGACCACTAGACCCTTGGACGGTGTGTATATGTAAAAAACAACCATAATGACATCAAAAGAAAAAAAAACATAAGGAAAACGCTAACTTTTAAATTGTTAAAAGAGCAAACAAAAAAAAAAAACAAAAGGAGAATCCCATGAACAAAAGTATGAAGTATTTTTGAGATGAAATCGAGAAGAACAAATATTATTAATTTTCAAAAACCCAAATAAACCGTGTATTTTTATTATTTGTACTTGTAAGACGGATCAGAATCCGGTGCCGATTCCGATTCAGGTGCTGGTGCTGGTGTTTCATGGCCGTGGGAAATGGTGTTGCTGGTGTGTTAGTTAGTTTGTTGTTGTTGTTGTTGATGATGATGATGATGTCGTTGTTGTGGATCTTGTCCCGTTCCGTTTGTGCCGCCAGGGGATAACCCATTGTCCATGTCCAGTTCAATGTTGCTAACCCACTTTTGTGCTCTCCACAGACCCCTTGAGTGTGCCGCCGCGACGGGAGCAATGCTCCCGCAAGGCCAAGCAGAGCAGCATGCACGCCATGCTCATGAATTCCAGTGCTGTGGCCGGCGATGGTGGAGTCGTTGGCGAACCGGAGGAGTTCACAGACTCGGACACGGATCCCGTGTGGACTCCGCAGGAGGAAGACGTAAGTGTTTTGCCTCCGGTCTCGTAACCAATGTCTCAAAAAAACTAACACGCAGAGCGATGATGCTGGCAAGGGCTATGGGAAGCGCAAGTTGGCACGCCGGTCGAAGGGCACTCCACGCAAGAACACCTACGACCATAACTCAGATCTGCAACAGCAACAACAGCAGCAGCAACAACAACACCACCAGCAACTGCAGCAAATGCAGGTCAACCAGCAACACCATCAGCAGCAACAGGTGCAACAACTTGCCGGTGGCGGCGAATCTGGCTACAATTCGCAACAGAATATGTCGGGAGTTGCCGATGTGGGATATGCTAGTTCATCATCGGGCACAGCTGTTAACTCGGAGAACTTTAAAGTAGGTTGTGTTATTTTAAATTATTTAAAATTTTTCATTTTGTTAAATTTATTTAAAGTTCCAATTTGTTTTGTTTTGATACTAGGTAATGTTTATACCAGATCATAATTCAAATTTTTCTATATTCTTTGAGACAAAGTTACAAATTTAAGATTTCCTAAATGAATTTCAGACGGGTGACTTTATAGTTTTACGATCGGATCTTGTAAACGACTGGCCCACCATTTGGCAGGTGGACTCTAAGTGCATTTTGCAGAAGTACGAGCCCTTCCGCCAGAACGGAAAAACCTTCTATCGTAATATGTCAAAGGTATGCCTAGTAAGAATCTACCTTAAGTAGAAATATTAACAAATTAATTTCGTATTTAGTACGCCTCTTGGAATCTCGAAACGAAGAAACTCTACCTCAAAGCACCGGTGCGCATTCAGCTCCATTCCCACACCGAAACGATTGTCGAGTTCATGCGATCTGAGTTGCTGGCCGACGACACCGAGCAGTTTATTGAGAAGATCATGGAGGACTATCTGTCCTATAGGGACAACTTTGAGATCTACATTCAGACCATGATCTCGCAAGCCCTTGATCCCAGCTTCTTCTCGGAAATAACACGGGAAAAGGGTAATATTTTTATATAGTACAAAAGTAAAATTTCGAATAATTGTTTTTCTTTCTCGTTAGACGACTACTTCTTGGGCAGCGTTCGCGTGGTGGACAACATCATGGAAAACTGCAAGCGCAAGCTGCTGGCCATAACTCCATGGACTCGGAGTACAATCTCCTCCATTGAGACCTGGCCCAAGTGCCATGTGTTCTCCGAATGGGAACAAAACAATCTTACCCAGAAGAATTGCGCCGGTTGCCATCAGCCAGGCATCGCTGTGCGTTTCCTACTCTTCGGGGAACCCTATAATCCAAACACCATGCAAACTATGCCTGTGGATCCTCGTATAGCATATGAAAAGGTTAATGATTTAGAATATCAAATAGTCAACCGTAACTTTCATATATTTTTTTATTTCTCTAGGACATTGTCTTATGTCGCATCTGTGCCGCTCGTGCAGATCTCTTCCACAAGATTGCACATGAAAAGTTTAATCTGTTCATTAACTGCTCCCAACGGGTGACGGAGCAGCAGCAACAGTTCCCAGGGAAGACATCAACGGAGATACTGAACGATCTGCTGGCCGAGCACAATTGGATCGATGAGGTAGAACGAAATACCATTTACTTGTATATCATTGATATTAATATAAATTAATTTCAGCTCTTCCGTAACATGCGCAACTGTTGGGCTGAGGTGGAGAGTCTAGAGCGGCAGAAGCGTTTCCGGGAGGTGATGCAGTAAAAGCCATTATCATCGGGAGCCATTATCAAGGAAGACTCCTGATTGCGTATCCAAGTGCTGGACATTAGGACATTAAACGCCAAGCCCACGTATTGCTGCAATAAACTCAATGAGTTGTTATTTTATAATATACCAGATGACACGCAAAAATGCTTAGTTTTAGTGCAAGACACATATTGTACTATGTAGGCCTTAAGATTAAGATAAAGTCTATTCTTGGACTATGCATAGTGCATGCCATGTAAATAGCTATACAAATAGCTATAGCCGCGCATTATATTATATATATATATATATATATGGAATTTAAAGTACTAAATAACAGAGTAGTACCACACTCATTAGTTTGGAGAAAAAATAATATTTCTATTGCGTTGAAATCGCTTAAAACATTCTTTTTTCAAGAGTTCAAATTTAGTTTTATTTTATAGGATTTTTTAAGACGATCATGATCCTTAGAATCCCGCAAACAATCAAATTGTGTTTCGCTACCGCATGTGGTCAGGGAACCGTAATCATCACTAATCTTAAGGACTGTACATATTTAGTTTTAGCTTTAGTTACACAAATCCAATTGCAGACACTTTAGTTACCATCCTTTGTTATGCAGATTTTATTTTAAGTTACCAATTTTTAGAATCTTAGAGGTCCCTGAATAAATATAAAAAAAATCACATATATATATTGGCATATATTTTGCCTTGCATAGAGCTTAAAATATTTACATCCATATCTTGTTTGGAAATTGTTGTGGGTTTTTGGATTTTATAATACTGATTGGGAGTCCATTTTAAAAAGCGGCTCTGTCATGTTGTACTTGATAATATCCTTTACGATACCTGTAATTCGGCGTTTAAAGATTGGCAATGTGCGTGCGTTGAGCATATCGTATTCCTCGATCAGTTCCTTATACTTTGTTTCGTCGGATGATGTGGTAAGATCTTGGATGGCTTCAGATACAGTGTCGATATCTATTACCTCATTGGCATTGGAAATGAAAAAGGGCAGGGAAAATGCGCCCATGATTAAGCCATAAACTCCGAAAAGCTGCAATTGTCGGTTGAAAACGCTTCGAGGATATATCTCCCCAAGGCAAAGATCACAAGTCGCCAATTTCTGGTCCAGGGTGTCGTAGTAAGTATCCATAAAGGTAGAAAAATGATCATCTCGCAATTTTTTCTCCGTACAAGCAAAGAGGTAATGGATTATATCTAGTACCGGCGGTGCATAGCGGGACATCTGGAAATCGATGAGCTTAGCCTCCACGGGTTGATCAAAATTAGGCTTAAAATAAAAATAATGATAACATTTTTAAAACTGTTATTGGAAAAGATATGTTAAGTAAGAGCTATTACCTCATGCCTGTAAAGAATATTGTTATTCCAAAAGTCGCCATGACAGATGACCTTATATGGTGCCTGTGATTTTCCTTCTACACAGTAAAGAGCCAAGGATTTTAGGTTTTTTTCACAGCTTTCTAGGACTTCCTTGAGGGCAGCCACTTGTTCACCATCGGATTCATTCAGAATATTCCTTGCCTTTCGCAACTGAGCCTTTCCAAACTCAATGGTGACCTCCTCGATATCTGGTGTAAATAAGTTATCCTTCTTTACGAAGTTCACCAACTCCTTAAACTTTGCTGGATTTCTTTGCTGCAGGATAAAAGAGCAAGCATGTAGCTCCGCCAAAGCTTTTAGCGAGCAGATTACGATGTCGTAGGTTGGCATAGTGCTGCGGGAATTTGGACGGAAATCCCTTCCAGATAGATCCTCGAAAATCAAGAATTCATGGGGAGCCGTTAAGCCGTTGGCATGGAGCGCCGGCGCAACGGTGTACGTACTCCGATCTGGAGATAACTCCCGGAAAATGGGGAATACCTCCTGGTACATGAATACCTCTCGTGCATAGTAGTCCACAACGTGCATGTGTGATCTTCGTGCCTCATTTTTCGGTGCCATTTTGACCACCACATTGGCTGCTTCTGGAATCGTTGGCCAACTCACTCGAAGGACCTGTCCGTAGGCATTATCCCCAACTCCTACTATAGGTTGCGAAACCATAGGCACATTGTGTCGTTGGTAGAGTTTCAATAGCGCACTCGTCACAGCGCTCGAAAGCTCGCTCTCGCTCATTTCTTGGACCTGGTTATGAAGCTTCACCGATGAATCTATCTTTCCGACTGAAGCACTGCAGAGGCTATTCCTGCTTTTATAGTTCGTCGACGGAAAAGCTTCGTGTGAGTTACGATGCATTGTGGGTGGTGATGATGATAGAGACCACGTGACCAATCGGGCTAAGGAGTCCTTCCTCTTTTTAAGCTTAAGATCTTTAAATATAAATTTATGTGTATATATTTAATTATTTTTATAAAAATAGGTAGATTACTGGTCTCATGATCATAATAATAATCTACAAATAACTTTGTGCGTCTATTGGTAAATAATGAAAGTAACCTGTTACATAAAAGTCTTAACTTTTAGCTTCTGAGCTCCTTGGTTAATATTCGTATATCACCGAAAGACTAAGAATATCAATATCTTATATCTAAAAAAGTGCAATAGCCTTTGGGGGAAGTACATTTAGTTTGTTCTTCCCAAAAGAGCTTACACATTTTTAAATTATAAACTTTAAAAAATCATTAAGCTGTGTAGATTTTTGTATAAATAGCATAAGAAATAAATTGAAGGAGTTCTTTATAATACACAAACAACATATTTGTAAATATTTGACTCCAAAAATAGTGATTTCCGTTGCGCAGTAGGGAATCACCAAATATAAACTCATAACTAGTCCAATTATTTGTTTTGATAACCCCAATAAAAATACCCTCAAGCCAGGAGGTTTGCACAAAACAATTAAACCTATTGACCGAAACGATAGTGCACTTCCCTATTGTGTTCTATTTTCAAATCCAACGTCATTCAATTTGATTTGAGTAGTTTCGGTCGTTGACCCAACTCAAGGCCACCGCTAATGCAAACATACATTCACGATGGACTTTCTCGTATGTGCAAGCCAATGTAGTAGTAGTTAGAATAGCATGCGATTGAGAAAAAAAAATTGAAATTAACTTTTTGCCATTTCATACCAAGTTCTGGAAGCTTTTCGAGTATTACCTGCGTTTCTAACATATCGGGCATTGAACTTGACAAGCGCCGGCAAAAAAAGCTTGCCAATAGTAGTAGTACTACTACTATGATCTAACTCGTTCTAATGTTATACATTCACGATCGGCTTTGGCCAATGCATTTACGATCGAGCTTTTGTCCCGAGGCCAACTTAGGAATGCTAGGAGGATGGAGCTTTTGTCGGTTAAGGTTTAGCTTTCGTTTCATTGCCATCGAAAGCGAGCTGCGTAGAAGGTCGTTGAACCGACACAATTTCGAAAGACCCAACTGCCCGAGAGACCCAAAACATTGTAGTTTTCGCTTTTAGATACTCATTAATAAGAAGGTATGATCGCTTTTTGACTAACTTCCGTTTTATGTGATCAAATTTTTAAAGAACATATATTTTTTTTTAAATAAACTTATTTAAATATTTTTTACTATTTTTATTTTAGGTAAATGTATATAATTTTTTCATTTAAAAGTTTTATTCGTGGAATTTTTAAATATACCGCAGAACTTTTGTAAGATGATAACATAAAAAATAGTTTTCGAAATGTTTGACGCTTACAGTTAAATTTGTTTTATCAACAATATCATTAGAATTATATAATCGGCATATTTACGGTAGTTCGACTTATATTAAATGGAAATGTACACTCAAAATGGTTCAACAATATAAAAAATGTTTTAAATTACTAAGTTCATCCCAAATGATTTCGAGGAGGATAGGTTTTTCATGTTCGATTTTATTTCTTCTATTTTAGCTTAACTTTTATATTAAAGATAATAAAATAATTGTTTGAATGGTTACTAAAGAAGTCCAGGTAAAGTGGAATAGTCTTAGGTATTTACATAGGTCTAGCTTAGTTTCAAACAGCGAGTCCCAGGTTGTATGTTACAAGGTCTAAACGCTTTCGGATCATACGGCAGTGCCCAAGTCCTTCAAGCTAAATACACGGTTACTGTAGCTCCGCAGAGTCGGCAGTGTTTGAATTTGAATTCTCCTCAGACTTCTTTGACGATGGGGAGTCTGAGAGGTTTGGTGAAAGGTCCCGCAGTTTAACAACGTTCCCCACGGACACTAGATTAGCCGCCTCAGCCACAGAGTAGCCGATGTCCGGCGGTGTGCCTTCCGGATAGCCGAGATAATAATCCGCAATACGTCCAGCTTCACGCAATCCACTCAGGTAGGCTCCATGGACGGTGGCCGGATAATTCCGTATCGTATGCTCGCCAGCGAAAAAGAGGCGTGGCAATCCTTCCGCATCCTTATTAGATGGTGGAATAACAGGCGCCGCCAATAGATCATAGTCACTGCCCGAGGAACCGACGGATACATAGCTGTAGGAACCACGGGCCCAAGGATCGCTGCGCCAGCGCGTAACCACTGTCTCCTTGGGTTGGGGAACAGATGTGTTTCCGAAAATGTTTTTTAGCACTGACATGCAGCGCCCGATTATGATGTCGTCCGTCACACTTTCCACAATATTGGCTGCCATTCCGGCGACCAGCGCAAGCAGCACTGGAGATGAGCTGATGCTCCAGAACAAGAACATTTCTCCTGTAAGAATATAAATTTATTTTGAATTTCTTTTCTGTTAAAAGAAGAGAGTAGAACTACATACCCCTACTGGAGGTTGTACTGCCCACGTGTCCGAAAAGATTTGCGTTCGGATCCCAAAAGATTCGATCGAAACAGAGGACAACCTTATTGAGATTCCCAAAACCAAGTCTTCTGATAGCCTGCTGTTTCCAGTCGGGCAAAGGAGGATCAAACTTAACTGTGTTGCTCTGCTGTGACTCTTCGTGGGCCACCGCTACCTTCAAGACGCCCAAGGTGAGTGTGCAGACGGCCAGGTCTGCTTTATACGTCATTTGCGAATTGGAGGTCTTCAAGTTCTCGGCCACCACTTCGACGCCATGTGTACCGTACTTAATCTCCTTGACGGCGCTATTGACGCGAATGTCCAGATTTTCAGTAAGAGCTACAGGAACACAAGAATAACCATTCCGCACTGTGGTGTGATGGCCAATGAACTCAAAGTCATCGTCCTGATCCCAGTGCTTTAGCGAAAGATTATTAAGCCGGGTTGCATTTGCAAACTCAAGATTGGCAAAGTGCCAATCCAAGATGAGGCGGTCGCGGGAGGAGAGATATACATCGCTGCAAATAGTGAGTATTTAATAGGGATTTAAAACATGCAGCTACTATTAAGCCTACTAACCTCGGTCGGTTCTGCTCTAGTTCGTGGAGTTTTACTTCCATTTCCTTATCCTCGGCATGGAGCGCGTTGAATTCCTTGACAGCCTCATCCATCTTGATCTGGGTATTCCTTAGGTTAAACTCCTGACGACCGTAATTCGTATCGCTCTCCACGCCCTTGGGCTTCCGCTGCTTAACCATTGTGTGGTGCTCGCTCCTTAGCGTGGCAATGGTCTGCTTGATAGACCTTAGTCGACGCCGGTGCTCGATGATTTTGTTTTGGGCGGCTATGATCTCTTGCATGTGATGTGCCCGCTTATTCTTGACCTGCATCTCTTGCATGCTGATGATCCACTCGAGGGCATCGCCCAAAGAAACCGGACAGTTTCCGGCGTAGTTGAAATCAAGGCGGTGAGACAAGTAGCTTGCGGATTCCAGCAAACGGTTAAATTCTCTCTCGATCACATCATCTTTTTCCTTGGGCACGGGTTTGCCGTCAGGTCCATAGAGTGGGCATGTCTGCTGGATCGGCACTAGGTCCATGCCGATCTGTTTGCTCAGAATCGTCATAGGATTACCATAAACGCCGGTCACCACCATGGCACCTAAATCCGCGATATAGCTATTCTTGCGAAACGTGGCAATACGTCCGCCAACTCGGTCTCGCGCCTCCAAGACAATTACATCCATGCCGAACTGTTGTAGCTGGTGGGCCACAGCCAAGCCGGAGATACCTGCACCGATCACAATGACTTTGCCTAGTTTTTTGGTGGGTAAAGGTCGAAGTCGCTTGAAGATGCCAAAGTTGATAAATCCGTGACGTTCTAAGAATGAGTGTACCCGCTTCACCAAACTAGGTTCGCTGTCGAAGGGCGGCGGTAGGTTTTTCAGGGCATTCTCGTAGCTCAGCTGGAGTTTGGGATTATCCACCCACATGTGAAGCAGGCTATTACGAATGTTAAGGAACACGCGGTTACCTAGAATTCCCGAACGACTAATGTCCGGAAAGCAGGCCTCCTCGTTCGGCGTCATCTTGTTAAATGGCAAGCGCGATTGAAAAACTGCACCCTCTTGGCCAGACAAAACGGTGGGGGTGCCCACATCTTTATCCTTAGAGTCTCCGTTCTGCGAGGGTCTTGGATTACCGGCATTAGGACCAGAAACGGAGGTAGTATTTGTCTCTGACTTGCGAGCTTGGTTTTGGTTTTGGCTACGTCGGTCCGCCTGCTGATTGTTGGATCCTAAGGATCCCGATCCTGCCTTGTCATTGGATGCGGATTCTCCACTCCCACTAGGCCTGTTACTGTAGTCCACTTTTGGTCGATTGCGCCTGCTGGTGCGTCGTTCATCGCTGGTAGCCGGTGCATCATTGGAGTCCTCATCTGGCTGCTTCTGTTTTTGGTTATGATTTGATGTTAATGGCGGAGGTGCATTTCTTTTGGGCGATGGCTCGCCATCGGAGTCGTCACTTATCAGGGTCACATACTCAATCGGTTCAGTCATTTTGGAACTACTCCCTCCGGTTTGGGTGGGCTTCATCACCGAAAAATTAAACTTGCAGTGGGACACTGAAAAGTAAGCGCTTCAAAAATGAAACTCCTTGAAATTTTTTTGAAAATCTCAGCTTCCCATAAAAACGAACGTTTAAAAAACTCACGGAGTCTTCAGAACACAAAACCCGAACACTTTTGCATTCCTTTTTTCTTCAATAGTTTTGCGAATCTTTAGTGATTTTTTATCACACGTTTTGATGATCGGCCTTCAGGCTTAGTTATTTTTATGTGGTCACTACTTCCTGCTTGCCCGATTTCAATGAAGTAAATTTTTCTAGGTTGCTGTTTCAGCAGCTCCATGCGTTGCTTTTCATTTTATTTTGACTTTCAGATCGATTTTTCGACATTCAAAAGTGCGAATCGAAATGTAAAATTGTTTATATGGTTTTGGCGGTGTGGCAGCTGCACAATGCCGCCAACATACCCGTGCCGGTGAGGATAATTCAAAATTCGCCATCTGGTCACACTTTTTCGTTTACCGCTCTTTTTTTCAACAATTTCATTTTACAACTTCAACAGGCTTTTAAATTATAATATTATCTAAGTGACATCTCTTAGAAACTATATATCTCAACGAAAATTAGGTTTAGCTAACAGAAGGTATAGTAAAATATAGGAAATCAACCGTTAATACTTATCGATAAATGTGCAACTGGTAGTATTGGATTGAAACGGTTTTTAACTGAACCGGTTAAGTTTAATTTAAAAGTGTAACGGTATGTTTTCTGGCACAAATAAAAACAAGTCAAATATAAATATTCTTGTTTAAGAATAATAAGAGTAAGTAATAAGAGTAAGTTGATTAAATTCAATTTTTAACTTTGAACCTCCGTATTCTAGAATATCATGGTATTTCCCAACTCCATTGACATCTACCTTAATGGAAGTTGTTCGACATATTTGTATCCGCTCAACAGAAAGATATGAATTAATTGGATAATTTCTAAATTTAGAAAGCACCTCATTAGTGCAGCACCGATTTAACTTGACTCTGTTGGCCTAATTATAGAGTAAACCTTTTAGTGCTCTGCGTTTTGATTTTGTACTACTGCTTTTTTGAAGATAATAAATAACTAGCTCTTTAAGAATTTATAATTGAACTTTTAATTTTGAACTTTGTAGACACCTGTGGAATTTCCAAAACATAATCAAAAATAAAACAATTACTTTGTTCTTCGCAATTTGTTTTTATAGGAAGATACAGCATTTACTCGCGGCCATCGCAGCATTTATCGTAGATAATCGTGGAAAAGCAGGCTTCGTATCTCTCGTCAAAGAAGTGATCTAAGTGACAGACTTCCTCGGACACCTCTTTGTTATCCACACAACGGATGTAGTTGTGGCAATTATTACTGCTGCTGGTCACCAGCATCGTGCCGCGACCATCGCACCTGTTGTGGGTGCAGACCACTGAAGTGGCTTTTCCACAGATCTGTAGTTCCTCGTCAAAGAAGTAGCCCTCGGGACACTGCAGCCACACGGGATCCAGATCAGCGACTGGCGAAAGCGCCTTGCACACGAAATAGCCACGGCAGGTTGCTTTATCGGATTTAAATACCACCGTCTTAGTAACGGAACAGATTCCATCCTTTGGGTGAGCACTGCACTCCACCTTATTGGCTTCTATGCAGCTGCCGCTTTCCACATCAAAATACAAATTAGTCTTGGTAGAGCACCTTTTCGGCGCATGATTTCCGGTCTTATCACACTCATAGTAGTAGCTGCAGTCGTCTTCCTTACGGAATTTCGTGCCAGATGCAACCAGTTCGCAAATGTTGTTTACATCCACGCAATGTGAGTCAACGCCATACTGGCAGGCCTGGGAGCTCTCATTGAAGTGCTGACCCAACGGGCAATTCCCCTGCAGCGGTACACCGTTCATGCAATAGAAGTACTTGTGGCATTCGGTCGGATCGGATACCCACTCTCCATCTAATCCATCGCACCGATTGCCGCAGTACTTGTGGCTACTGGACAGAGTGTCCACGCACTTATCCTTGTCGGGATCGAAGGATTGCCCGGAGGGGCAGGTTAAAAGGATTCCTTCACCATCGGTGCACTGGATGTACTGATCACAGGTGCCGGGCTTACGGATATGGGTGCCATTCTTGAACAAACGGCACAGCTCCTCGTAGTCACCAACACTAGATGAGGAAGCTGATGAAGTCATCAAGAGAAGGCATCCAAATAGTACTTCTAGCCTAGGGACTGAAAAAATATTAAACTTAAATAGTCTTTCGTAAGATAAGATTATGAGCTATGCTAGCTTTTTTCTAATATCAACATTCTTCTACTGTTTTGTTTTTACTTTTCTATAAATGAAACACAAAACAACGTTAGTAGTACATAAGAAATTTCTTTAATTTATAAAATTCCTTCCAAGATTGTTCTGAGTATTTGCAGCGGTGTATGGATTGATAGATAAAACTCACTCAACATGGCTAATTGCTTGGAAATTTTGCTTTAATTTGCAACAGAATAGTTCGATTAGTTTGAAGTGGCCTCGGAGGCGACTTGTTTCCGACTAAATAGAGTTTTTGAGTGGTAAAAATTTATATTGGCAAACATTGCTTCTACTTCTGGCTGTACTGATACCGCACTTTATTGCCCCAATATATACGAATCTTATCGATGTTTCGCGAAAGTACGTAAACCCCTTCAAGTGCTCAATAATTTGTGATTTAAATCAGGACATCTGTCTATATATTGTTGAAGAACCGGATCAACTAATGAGTTTGGGCATATATGCACACTAATTAAAATTTAAAATAAAAGTGAGACTAGTTTGTAGGGTCTTTACGTAGTGGGAAATTAAAAATATACTTTAATACGGCAACTATTAATTGAAAAATCGTATCAGTAGTCACAAGATATTTTGTGTATTGCCATCGTAAATATGACAAAATGATAAAGTCCATCTTGTGGTTTTGCCTTTAATTGTTTTTGGGGAAATCAGAACCTTTAAAAAACATTGTGATTGTGATCCACGAATAAGAAACCGATTATTATTTATGGCTTCGTCAATGAGGTTGTGATGTTTCTTTCACACCACCTGCAGGTGATATTGTTGTGATTTCTTACTTTTTTTTTCCAATTTGTTTTCTTTTTTATTTCTATTTTAATGTTTGTGTAACTAGTGCAATATCTGCTATAATAGAGTCTCTGTGTGGTCTGTTTTAAGGAGAACTGAAAGTACTACCGTCCACGGCATAATCTGTAAGGAATCCCCTCATAAACTCCATTTACTTCTATAATACATTTTTTGCTGAGTTCTTTATTAAATATAATTACTTTGTACAAACAGTATAGGTTTTTACAGTAGAAACGCAACCTCCCAACTCCTCGTCGAAAAACAAGTTGCCGCAGGACTTCTCGTATTGAGTAACTCCGTTGGAGCAGCTCAGATAATTCCGGCAACCCGTAGTGCTACTAACTACAAAGTTCAGAGTTCGTCCATCGCAACGATCTTCAGTGCATTTGACCGAATTGGGGGATATGCACATCTGACTGGTGGAATCGAAGAATTTGTCCTGGGGACACTGGTTCCAGGAGGGATTCGAGTCCGGAGTGCCATCTTTTTGTTGGGCACAATAGAAATAACCACGACATGTGGCACCATCCGATACGAACACGTTCTCTTTGGGCTTACTGGCCTTTCCACAGACATCTGTGGGCAAGGGATGGGCATCGCAATCGACCAGAGCCTTGGACACGCAAGTTCCTGTGCTGGCTTGATAATATAAATTCGAACAGGTCTTATCCAGCAGTACACCATTTTGACAATAATGATACTTATCGCAGGCCTGGAGATTGTCAAAATTCACTTTGTCCTTAACAATGTTGCAGTATTCAAAACTGCTGGTTGTACAATCCGATTCGTATAGGCGCGAACACATCTGGGTGGTGGCATTGAAGTGGGTGTCCTGAGGACAGGTGCCGTATACGGCCGTCTCCTGATCGGAACAATAGTAGTAGCCCTTGCAGGACTTTGGATCGGCAACGAATTGGGTAGCCTTGCCCTCGCAGGAAATCGAACAGCTTGAACTTGATTTTAAACTCTTGACACATTTGCTCTGATCCTTATCGAAGAATGGCGTGGATCCCGTGCAGGTGCTATAGTGGCTCACGGAGTCGATGCAAGTTATCCATTGGCTGCACGAATCCGGATCTCGGATCACTGTTCCATTGGAGAACAAGCGGCAAATGTCACCACTCCTGGCCAAATGAAAATTACTCACTTGGATGAGTACCAACAGTGCCAGGGAAGCGTAAACTTTGGACTCTGAAATTTCGAAGCGAAAGAGAGTTACTTAAAACCATTTGGATGTATAAAAAACTACCCACTTTCCATCGCAGATCAACTTTCGACGAACTAACAACTCTTACTGAGTTTCATTCTCGACGAACGATTATTTTTATGGTCGTCTGTATCGAAGGATCAGCAGTTATAGCTATCCGCAGCATTTATTTTTGTTGGCGAGATAAGCTGATTGATTTTTTATAAGGGGTATATTTGGGGTATTATTGGCGGAGCCGAAAATTTTTTACACTTTTAAAAATCTGTTCAAGTACCAAACTAATTGAAAAAAACTTAAATAAATTATAATTATTTATTTATTATTACAAATTTTAATAGCTTGATAAAGAAGTTATTATAAATATAAAAATTAATATTTACTATTTAACTATTAGGTAAATTACAGCCGGTCAATAATGCTCATCTTATTAACAACTTTACGATTGACAATTGGCCAACCTATAAATCAAATCGGAAGTAGATTAGATTAATTTTGGTCTTTTGACACACAAATAAATAGGGATGATATAAGGATGATCAGCTGGATTTATTCTAAGGTCTCAGCAAAATTTTCTTTACTCTTAAAGGTATTTTTTTAAGTTCAGTTTTAAAAATATTTTTTATAATACGCAGATTACATTAGTAGTACGTCTACTTTTGAAACGTGGAAAATTATTATCTATTCGACTAGTCAATAACTTCAATTGCATATTTATATGCGGAGTTTAGTGTTGAATATAGTTTGCTTTTAGGATAAAGTTAAAATGGCAAGGAATTTCGGTAATAAACAAGTAAACTAATACTTACTAATCGTACTAAAACTTTCAATAAAAAGGCAACTTAAATTGTGTTACAAATTAAATCAAGACAATATCTGACTAACCAATAAACGGAAATATATCAGTAAATACAGCTATAAATAGCAAGTGAAACTTGTTAGCCGTTAATTTTTCATCGGAAACTGATAACTTGAAGTGAAAACGAAAGACAAGTCAAGGATCGCATTGAGATTCAAATTGAGATATCTAACTAATGTCGTGTTGCTGAAATGAGTAGCGAGATACCCGGGAAAACACCGCTGAGTGATCAATAAGTGCGGTGACATTACTCCAACTCTGCGCCGTACTTTGAAATTAAAAAACAATTATAGACAAAGTGGGTTCGCAATCAGCAGCTGATAATCCAAATACCGCCAGGGCTGTCATGTCAAAAGAAAATGTATATCTATAAATTTATATATATAGACCAGCTGACCAAGTTTCGATTAGAGCTTATAAGTCAGTCCATTTTGGCCGGGTCCGCTAGTTTCACTTTCGACGTCCAACGCTGTCGAGCCGGGAGTTAAACCCCCCCAAAAAAAAATCTAAAAAATTAAGGATGGAAGGTGCGTGGTTTACCCAGACCTTTAGAATCTTATCTAGTTTTAATTTCGATACTAACGCCAAGGCTGGTAGTGGGCTTATCGGGTTGACAATTTTCTAATTAACTACAATGTCGTGCCGCGAATGGGCCAACTATATAAACGCAAAGGCTGCGAATGATTGGGTTAGTAACGAAATCGGAACCTTCGCTTCAGTCATCTGCCAAGCGAATAAGTCCAAAAATATATTAACATTCCAAGATGGGAGGTACGTTATCCCTAGAAACGGATAAATCATTGGTGTTTTTGGTGAAAAATAAATTGAAAACTTTCTTGTTTTTCTGTGAATTCTTTAATTAAAACATAACCAGTGGTTAATTTAAACAAATAACAAATCTAAAAAGTTGTTAACAATTTTATCCATTAAATTTGAAAATATTTTTAATCATCATTACAATATCTATCAGTTAATCAAAATAACACAAGGTTTAGCTATTTCACTTCTTAATTTAGTCCTTATTTTGGTAAACTAAATTTGAAAACTTTCAATTCATATGAATATTCTTTTTGCCCCTTTTAGCTTTTAATATAAAGATCTGTGTCCTGGCAGCCTGTCTTCTGATAGCGGCGCAGGCCAGTGGCTACACGATGGATGACTTGTGCAAGCAATGGTCGGGAACTGGATATATTGGCAATCCGAGCAATTGCCGTGGCTGGGGATACTGCAAAAACCAAGAGGTTGTTGCCTGGGACACCTGTCCTAACGGCGAAGTCTTTAATGCACAGACTGGCAGTTGTGCAAACGCTTCGACTACGATTTGTACCACCAGTTCAGAGAAAACTTGCTCATCCGTCGTCTCGCCCATGTATGTGGCCGACACGCAGAACTGCTCTCAATACTGCTATTGTGATGGCAAGGGTGGTCTCGCCTACGGTAATTGCGGCACTGGAGGCGTCTTTTCGCAAAGCAGCGGAAAGTGTGTGTGGGGACCAGCATGCCCGCAGGACACCATTTGTCAGTTTATGTTGTCAAACATCTTTGTTGGCGATCCGAATAACTGTGGATCCTATTTGAAATGCGTCAATGGCTATGGAACCTCTACAAAATGTGAAAGTCCCTTGTACTATAACGCAGCCACAGGAAATTGCCAGAAGACGAATCCCTGCGATGGCACTAGTGACAATAGCAATACCAATACCGGAGATTTTACAATTGGACAAGCAGCTGAAGGCGTATGTAGTTCAACTACTAAAAAAGCACCAGTAAAGAGAGCAGCTGCAGCTGCTGATGCTGATGCTGATGCTAAGGCTGATGCTGATACTGATACTGATACTGATACTGATACTGATACTGATACTGATACTGACACTGATACTGATACTGATACTGATACTGATACTGATACTGACACTGATACTGATACTGATACTGACACTGATACTGATACTGCTATATACGTTTCTGATAAAACCACATGCTATGGCTACTATTATTGTGCTAGCGATACTGCCACAACTGGTTACTGGAACAAATGCCCCACCGGTACCCATTTCGACCCCACGCTGAGCAAGTGTGTTTCACCGGCATCCTATGCCTGTCCCTACAACCGTTGTGGCAACGTTGACACCACATTCATGGCTGTGGTGAATACCGATTGCGCGAGCTACACGATCTGCTCCAGCGGAACGGAAGGAGATTGTCCCACCGGCACCGCCTATGATGAGGTGCATGATCTCTGCACCACCACAAAGCTTACCTATCCCGTTTGCACAGAAACGGTTACCCTTACCACTTAAGCTTTCCTTTCCATTCATGTCTAACGCCGAGATACCTTATGAAAGATATATGAAATAACACACATCCTATAAAACTCAACTCTGTTCTGTGGGCTGTGGGAAAAGCAATAAAAAAAATCGTCGACTTCGACCAATCCGAAATTCGTTTTAAAACTATTAACAAATTAGTTAACTTAGAAAGGGGTCTTAAAATAAATTACAAATTTATAACAGAGGGCAAACTACATATGGATGTATGCAAATTTATTATTTGCAGAGAAATTATTTGTTGTTTTTATAAATGATTGCTGCATATGGACTCGCTCGTCCATAAGCTTTGAGCGTTTCAATAATAATTTCTCGTGTTCCTCCTTCCGCCTCATTCCGCCGTTAACTACATATAATTTGTTCTTGTATTTTCCTAAATCATTCTCGAACACTTACACTGGTGTTCATTCCATATGACTTCTGAATACAATTTAGAGATTATTTTGTGATAAAGTTATATATTAGTTAGCAAAAAAAGATTTATATTTTTCTCAGTGTATATTTGCAAACCAAAACCAAAGCATAACTGGGAAAAACGCACGTGAACGTGAACGTTTTCTTGTATTTCTGTTAGTAAATTCTCTGCCGTAAGAATGAATAAAATTAAGCAACTCTGTTTTGGACTTTTCTGGAAAAGCAAAATTGACGTCAGGTTGTAAAACCTAAGTTTTAGATATTAAAAATATTGATTTGAAACTCCAATATTATGAATCGTGCAAAACTTACATGTATAGTACTTATCATTGGAAAGGAAGTTGAGGAAATGTTAAACGAGATTCTATTAACATGAAGAGAACATGTTAATAAATTAGGCAGTTTAATCACAACATTTCCCAGTGTTTCCCCAATGTTCGAGAACTGTCAATGGCATTGATGGGGATCTGAACGTGACACATGCAATTTCCCTATCAATGGGGGGGCCGTTGATCGTTGTGATACCACGATACCAAGATATCACTATACCAGGCGGTATCAATGCCACCAGGAGTCTGCTCTTCTTCGAACGAGACAATTCCGATGTTATTGCCGTGTAATTTACATGCGGCCCCGCTATCGTACATCAGAAAATCAATGAAAAAATCAGAATAAAACGAAACGCCAACGCTATCTTCAACTTCTGATTGAGATAGCATGTGCATTTTGGAAATTGTTTTTCGCCGAACAAAATCGAACATAATGGTCTTTGCATATTTAAGAGCGACAGCCTCCGAAGGTGCAGTATCATTTGTGTTGTGATTGTCGCTACCGGAAGATCGCAACGATACGTTCCAGTAACCAGGATAAAGACCAACCAAAGGATATACAACATGATTAGAGGTATTTACATAAAAAGGATATCGATGTTTCTGCAACAAAACGTGGAGAGAATTTTAAAAATTTCCATCTTGTTAACAGATTTTTGATATAAAAAAAAGTTAAGATATTTCCTGTTTACGTGATTTTAAATCTTAGCAACAACAACGATATATAATGCCTTATTATATGATTCAATTTCCGGAATCCTTTCTAGCTAGCGGTTTCCTGTCGCTGCTGTTTGTGGCCAGCGCCTTGGGCGGCGTGATCGAGGACTTTGAGTATTTATCGGTTAGCGATATGTGCGATCTATTGCCACAGGACACGAGCTTCCTGCGACCAAATACCTGTGACAACTGGGTGCGATGTGCCACCAACTACAGCTTACTGGAGCAGGGTGCCTGTGCCGCTGGACTCTACTACAACAAGGAGCTGGGTCGCTGCATCCTGGCCTCAAGTGCCGTCTGCCCATATGCTGGTGTCGTTGTGGAGAAGCCAAAGAACTTGTGTGCCAATGAGACGGAGGGAGCCTTTATTGTGGATCCCAGTAGCAGCGATTGCCACGGCTACATCCTGTGCAAGGCCAACAAACAGATCCAGGCCAACTGCCCCAGCCAGCTGGTCTTCCATCCCACATCGAGATCCTGCGTGTACGAGACCCAGTACAGCTGTCCAATTAGCCAGACAAAGAAGACGAGTCCCGCTTGCCGATCACTGGCTAATAACACTCGTCTGGCCGATCCTGTCCACTGTGATCAGTACTACGAGTGCGTCAGCGAGATCCTGCACAGTCGTTCCTGTCCAGCTCAGACTGCCTACGATGCAGATCTCGGCTATTGTGTGGATGTCGCCGAGGTGACTTGCTATGAGACAGCTGTCTTGCCAGAACCGGAGGACACCTTCTGTTTGGACAACGCCACGCAATCCGCACGCGTTGGCTACTTTGCCGACGAGGCTTCATGCTCCCACTACTATATCTGTGGAAATCCCGTGGCCGGAAAGCACGATACGGAGCCCAAGCATCTGAGCTGCCCCTTGGGTCAGTACTTTGACTTCGAGAAGCTCTCGTGCCGGGACAGACTCAACGTGCGTTGCCAGCTGGACAGGTGTGTGGGCACCAATCTGGCCTACGTAAACGTGGCCGGCGATTGCCAGAGCTACGGACGCTGCTCTGGCGGTTTGACCGTCAGTTTGGGACAGTGTCCAACTGGATATTACTTCGATGAGCGTAACCAGGGATGCACTCAAACCAACTACCACTACATCGCCTGCTCCGTCTAGGCTGTCCAATACCCTTCCAATATCACTTACTATTTAAAGTCCTAATAAATCGATCCAAATCAAGGTGGAGGTCAAATGCAATGTATGAAAGGAATTGCTATACTTCTTGGCGGGATAATGAAGTTTTTTTTTTTACGATTTAAATGCTGTTTCCTTATTATAATTTTTTATTATCCAATAAATTTCTGTCAAGTGAAAATAAATGTTCTTAATTTCCAATGACATTCTATATCTATAAAGAGGTCAAATAATCCGAATACTACATTTTTTATGGGAGCAGTGACAATACGGGAGCGGAAATGTTCATTAGGAGAATAAAGACGAAGGTGATAAAATTCTTGGCAACCCTTTTGCTATCAGAACTGCGCCACAGCACGATTCTTTTTGGCAATCTGTTTTCGTGACACTTGGAGTGCCTAAAAAGATATCAGTTTTAATTAAAAGAGTACCCCAGTAGAGGTTTCGGAGAATTCCGAATCGATTCCTGATAGGTCGATAACAGATTTGCTACTCGCCTATGCCGCGACCGGTTATTTCCTTGTTTGCCATGAGGCGAACAAGAAGTAACGAACGTCTAAGGATCGTTTTTATTATTAACAGTTAGTTCTGGAACTAAGAAATCGATTTCAGATAGGTCGATAACAAATTTGCTTCTCGCCCATGCCGCGACCGGTTATTTCCGTGTTTGCCATTAGGCGAACAAGAAGTAACCAACATCTTTGGATTGTTTTTATTATTAACAGTTAGTTTTGCAACTAGGAAATCGATTTCAGATAGGTCGATAACAAATTTGCTACTCGCCTATGCTGCGACTGGTTATTTGCCATGAGGCGAACAGGAAGTAAACAACATCTAAGGATCGTTTTTATTACTAGCATTTGGTTCTACGACTTATAAGGATAACTGGCGTATGATATTGTCATTTAATTTTAGCATCTGCTTTTAGTTAAACAAGTATATTTCAATTTAGCTTGATTGATCAATGAAAAGGCCAGATGAAGTTTTTAAAATACACAAATTTTTAGTCTGATAAGTTCGTACTTTTCCATTCAACTTTTTTATTGCCTTTGTTATCCGATTCACAGCTACTAAAATCATTATATTTGCTGATATCACTCTGGGAACACATGAATGAGTTCTATGGGCTACTTCCTTAAAACATACCCGTGTTGGTTTTTTTTCGAGTATGACATCACGGTTCCATATTGTCAAGTATACTTTACGCCAATCGATTCAAGGAAATCTTTGCCAAGAAATGATCTAGCAACTTAATCATTATTATGCCCGATAACAGTACCAGATATACTTGTATTTATTGTAGCGGCTACAAAAGAAACAAAGTGTCTAATTAAAACTGATTGCAAACGTCGCTCACGAGACCAAAACTTTTGGTTTATGATAATGCCATTCATCGCCCTACGATTTCAGGCATGCGGGATAAGATATATATACTCAGGTGGTTTTCAAATGAGTCAGCTTGGCTAGCCTTTAATCTGAAAGCTCTTTTGGGAATGCTAATTTTTTAATTTAACGAACTAAAAATACGAATTTTAACTTTTTGATGGTCCTATCGATTAAATCTAAAGAAACAGGTGATCTGCTAAATTTATAGTTTTTAGACTAGATAACAACACTTGATATTTGTTCACATTTATTGTGGCAACGAAACCAATAACATTTGCCTAGTTAAAGTTATTAACTTTCCCTGCTCACGATACCGAGTTGGTGGTAGAACCATCACTCACTACCGTCACCTGTTCGACTTGGGTCCCGGTGGTCGTTACGTCTGATATCTGACAGGCGGCATAAGTTATCGTTTGGGTGGTACAGCGCTGAGTCAGTTCGTCGAAGTACTCGTCCTGCGGACAGGTTCCCTGGCCAATGACAACACCATCTTGACAGATCGAGTATCCATGGCATCCATCATCCGACTCGTTGGCCAGCTGAATGGTGGTATTGCCCAAACCAACGCATCGATCATAAGAACATTTCACTTTGGAACGCGGCACACATGCCCCTCCATCGGTGGCCAGGAAAAATCGTCCATCTGAACACACGCCGTGCTCCAATGAAAACTCTCCATCTGCCACGGCCTTGCAGTAGTAGTAGCCATTGCAAGTTTTATTATCGGAAATAAAACCACCGGAATCGGGACACACACCCTTTTCGATAATATCCGGTACCGCGGTGATATCACAGTTCACATCCTGCGGATAATCGCACTCGGCTGTGGAGGCTTTGAAGTAAAAAGTGCCTGGACAGGTGCCGTTTATCACTTGGTCATTCCAGCACATCTGGTAGCCGTTGCAGTTGTTTGTGTCCTTAATGAAGACACCATCTGGCAGAATGTTGCACAAACTATCGGGATCCATTTTATCCGCGCATGGAAAATCCCGAATACAGTCTTGCGTTCCCGAATTGTAGTTCATTCCCGAATTGCAGACTCCGTGCGTTCCCTTGCCATTCATGCAGTAATAATACCCGTTGCAGGAGTACGGATCGGCCGCAAAGCCTGTGGTTAGAGCAGCACAGGGATCACTGGAAAGGCATTTAACGCTAGCGGAGGGCAGACACTTTTGGCTCTCCCTGTCGTAGAAAAGTCCAGTGCCGCAGGTTCCACTCACAGGTGTGCCATCGATGCACTGAACCCAGGCGTTGCAGGCCCTAGGATCGTTCATCTTGGTTCCATTGACCACCAGTTCGCAAATAAAAGTTGCATTGAAGGTGGAGGCTCCAGATATCAGAGGGACCATGCCTAGTCCCAGAAACAAGATGAAAATGGAATCTGATTGGAGGAAATTAACATTAGTTTTGGAATATTTCTAGGTAACAGCAATAGATACTTACTCATTTTGATTTCAGTTTTAGAAAAATGTTCTTATTTAAGGATTTTTCTTTTTTCTAGACTTGTCTATAAAACGGGAGAAGGAACGTCTAACCTGGAGCCCTCCAACTTCGCCATTAAATACATAACCAAAGACAACGCTTACCTCAAATGTGCTTTGGGCCATAACGAAGGGTCTATAAATTTTGGTAGCATTAACTTATGGCCAAAACTGCCGTCAGTGTCTAAAATCGAGGCATGGCGTATTCATATTTCAGTTTTATCACGATGGGTTAATTCCCAATTTGACAAGTGATAAATTTTGAGCATTTTGATAATAACCAAAATTTGTTTATTTCGGTTAAGTTGTGGTCATGCACCTAACATTTTCTCAATGAAAACTCTCGTTTGTTTATAGTTATTATCTTTTAGGCATATTGTTCTTAATTTATTATACAAACTCTATTTTAAAATGAGAGGTAATTTTTCTAATCTTCTAAAGTCCAAGCTGATAGCTCTCGTACATACGACATTATGGTATTAATAGACCTCGATGACAAATTTTCGGTTGAAATATGGCAGATTATGGTAGAGTCGAGTGGTCTAGATTTCAACTTATAAAAATAATTAAAAATACATTTTCGCATTAACTAACTTAATCAAAGAAATGGCTTTCGATTCTGGGAATACATATGGTCACTTAATTAGACTTTACCCAGTGTGGCTTGTTTTTCGGTTTTTTAATAGGAAGAAACCGTTTATGCCGATAAATGGGTTAGTCATCGTTGGTAAAACTCTTTGGGGCAAAACAGAGGATCATAAAGTAAAGTTAAAAATCGTAAAACAGGTAGGTAATTTAAAACTAATTTAGATTACGTTTAATAGCTAATCTTCCCAAATTGAACTCAAAAAATAAATTTGGTAACCATGTGGTTATATTACGACTGGAATAATTTCATTTTGAAAAAATTATCTAATCGAATTTTCCTCACATACCTTGGCACTTTGCTAACACAATGGAAAACGTGTTGGATTTCGTATGAGATAATAGTTGGAATTTTATAAAAGGCTTTTTATTTCCGGGAACTAGGTGCTTCACACGCGATTATGACAGAATCGCCTTCTGGTCAAGATTATCTTGACAGGCCTACAAATTTTTTAATTCAGTTTTAGAAAATATTTTAAAAATATTATTATTTAAGCATACTTTTAAGCTAAGTTTCCAGATAACTGATTCCCAAAATTCAAATAATTACTAAATATAAATAAAATTAGTTTATATTTTGATTTGGCAAAGTTATTGAAGGGTTCTTATCCACTGCTTTGTTGACTTTGTAAAAAGCCCATCGATCATGCAAAAATAGATTTGGCGATACATCACTGGAAGTTGATTCCACGGCCTGACAGCTCGTCGATCAACTTGAACAGCCCAGCGGATCGGAGATAAACCCTAGCCGTACTGTAAATAAAAACCCACGGAGGCCATCATCCAGAAACAGTACACAACCGAGAGCCACCAAATCAAAAAGTTAAACAATGGGTGAGTTTTCTTTTACCAAACTTGAAATACTTAAATCTAAACTTAGAAAATAACCAATTCCAGGTGGACACAAAGGATCCATCATCGCTGCTGTGGCGCTGCTAGTCGCCTGTGCCGCACCAGCAACGGCCGACTTGAACGTGACCGCCTTGTGCCTGCTGGTCAGTAGTGGCAACTATGTGGCCAGTCAGTCGGACTGCTCAACCTATTATCAGTGCCAGGGTTCGTCGTACACGACCTTGTCCTGTCCCACCGGTTACTATTTTGATAAGAACACCCAGCAGTGTACGGGAAGTGTCCCTAGCACCTGCACCAGCAACACTAATCCTTGCCAAGGCAAGGCGGTGGGAACCTTTGCTGCCTCTAGTTCATCCTGCGGTGGCTATTACTACTGCGGTGCCGCCGGCGCTGTGAGCGGCAGTTGCCCTACCGGCGAGAACTTCAATCCCACCACTATGGCTTGCGTGTATAAGAACAACTATCCCTGCAGCGAATCCTCTAGCAGTGACAGTCTATCGGTATCGGTGGCCCTCAACCTGTGCAATCTCATCAGGGATGGTCTGTACTTCGGTAGTCCCACCAACTGCAGTGGTTGGAACTATTGCCAGGACAATGTCCTACACTCGGGAACTTGTGAAGCTGGTAGGGTGTTCAATGTCCAAGCTGTGAACTGTGGCTACAAGACGTCGTCATCCTGCTCCCAGGTCACCAATGATGCATCACTGACCGGAGTGATTACTCCCTCTACTTGCACCACCGCTGGATCAATGATCGCGGCCACTGCTTGCAATCAGTACTACATGTGCACGGCCAGTCTTAGTTATCAGTTGATGACCTGCCCATCGGGTTACTACTACGACACCCCATCGAAGTCATGTGTGACCAGGATGAACGCCAGGAATGACTGTGACAGGTGTGTGGGCACCACCGCCTCCTTCGTGAATGCTTATTCGGCCTCCAACTGCTCCGATTACCTCTATTGCTCGAACGGTGTTCAGAAGGCTGTGGAAAGCTGCCCCACCAACTACTACTTCAACGAGGTCTATGGTGGCTGCGTTAGTGGAGTGGAACCCAAGTTTTTGTGCTGCAATCCCACGGGAAGCAATGGCACTGATACTAGCACTTCGGGAAGTTCTTCTGGCAACTCCACAGATACCTCCTCTGGATCTTCTTCCACTGGAAACTCTACAGATACCTCCTCGTCGGGTTCATCGTCCACCTCGACTGGAGGTTCTACTGATACTTCGTCGTCAGGAACTTCCTCTGGATCATCGTCGAGCTCGACAGGATCTTCTACTGATACTTCTTCCGGGTCATCGACCGATACCTCTTCGAAAACTGATACTTCCTCTGGATCATCATCCACCTCTACCGGAACTTCTACCGATACTTCTTCGAAAACTGATACTTCCTCTGGATCATCATCCACCTCTACCGGAACTTCAACCGATACTTCTTCGAAAACAGATACTTCCTCAGGATCATCTTCCACCTCGACTGGTACTTCTACTGGTACAGATACTTCAGCCAAAACTACATAATAATTCATACAGTAAATGATAATAAATACTATATAATCCTGCAAGCAATTAAATAAATTACTTCATATTCTATTATAGTTTTATGCAGATTTTTCAAATAATATTGTTGGTTTCTATCGACGAAACTCAATTATCAAAATAAACTTCGTACTCTTTTCTAACGAATATGTTTTCTACACTTTCATTGCTCGTTTTTTTTTATTGTTATATGTTTTTAAGATAAGGTTCTGGGGTAAATCGGTGGTTAATATTTCTCTATAAAAATATTTGGTTTCGGTTTATAATTCAATAAAAAGAATTGGTAATTTCGATGACGCGACTTGTACTTGTATTTTCGATTTGCCAGAATAAATGAAAAGATCTAAGACTAACGAGATGACCCAGTTAATAAATCCTTTATAAAATCAAATATATATCTCATATTTCATTATCATTCATAATTGTATAAATTGTTTACTTCAAACGTCATAATGGATATCCCAAAAAAGAGCTCAAAAACAACATTTTATAGCCCCAAACCATTTGGTAATAAAGCCGACAGTACACGAGGTTTTCCATTGGCCAAAAAAGTTTATTGGCTTGAAAAAAAGAGATAAGAAACCTTACGATATATACCGTTTAATTTAAAAGATTCTCCAATGGGCAGTTTTCAGTTTGGATTTTTTTTTTATAATTTTACTAGACATAGTTCAAGAACACGATGTGATAGCTCCCAAGGAAAAGCGTACACCATTGATAAAACCATGGATACGTCAATTGTTTCCCCCTTTTTTTTTTTTTTAATTATTAAGTTGCGAAATGAAGAATGATACTACAGTTACTATAGCTTAACTTTAATTAAATTTGGTAAAATCACAACTAGACAAGATGTTCAGCGCGTATCTGGTGGAATAAATAAAAAATTGAACCATGTTCCGCTGTCTATAATTCCTGAGAACAGCTAGCTTATCTACAGTCAATTTACGATCTTGATGGCCAAGTTCGCTGCGAAGACCTATAAAAACCAGGCAATAGGAAAACTCCAACATCAGTCTTCGACAACCTTTCATTGGCCAATACAAGCGGTATTCGTTTCCTGACAGCCGAACGGTATTACCAACTAACGATGACAGGCAAGTGTGGCTGGCTACCAGTGATCGATCCAGTGAATCACCAAAAGGATTTTAATTTATAATCAAGGAATGTAATTTGTGATTTGCAGGTAAACTACTATTAGTGACGATCCTATGCCTGATGGGCGGCAGCGCTTTGGCCGCTGACGTTTTGGAGGGCACCTACAATGTTACAGCCGTTTGTACGGCGGTACCAACCGGAACTCAGCTAGGCAGCATTGAGTCCTGCCAATACTATTATGTTTGTCAATCATCCGGACCTGTTAACACCACTTGCCAATCGGGTTATTCATACGATTATAAGAAGAGCTCCTGCTATCCATCTAGCCAGGTGGAATGTTATTATGGCGTTGAAAATCCTTGTCAAGGCTTAAACGGAACTTGGGTGCCAAATACATCCGTTTGTGGTGGATACTATTATTGCGATAATAGCGTTTGTAGATCCGGTGCTTGCCCCGTTAACCAGGTATTCGATTCGACCACCAAAGCATGCAAATGGGGATCCTGTACCACAACCGCAGATGGCACCGAAGGTACTGTCCTGAATTCACTCTGCGATGTTGTGCCACCTGGCTTTTACTACGGTGATACCTCAAACTGTTCAACCTGGAACTATTGCCAGTCCAATTCCTCTGGCATCTTTTTACATACTGGAACATGCTCTGGTAAACAAACTGTAAGTAAATACCATTCTATGTATATTATATATTTCATAAAGATTTGAGTGTAGTAGTAATCAAACTGCTGAAAGTTCCCCGTTTTTCTAGGGGAAAAGTTTAAAAATATTGAGCAAAAAACGGTTCATCGAATAGGAAAAGCTGTAAACTTCTGAATGAGGTGTGACAAAATTTGTAGATTTTTCCTTTCCAAATGAATTTATTTGAATATTTAACAAATTGAAAATCAGTTAATCATTAATTTATAAATATTTTTAATATATTAACGTTTATATCTATAGACCTTCAACGTCAATGGCAAGAGTTGTGATTACAAATCCTCTACCGATTGCAGCCGTGTTACCGGCAATGGAATGAGCAGTGCACCAGTTTCCTGTGATACGAATGGAGCAAAGAAGGCCGATGCCAGCGTTTGTGGCACGTATTATGTGTGCACTAACAAGCAGTGGGTGGCCACATACTGTGCCTCCGGCTACTACTACGATGAGACACAAGAGATTTGTGTACTTCGTCAGACAGCCACACCCATCGCGGGCTGCAACCGTTGCCAGTATGCCAGCCAATCGTTTGTGAACGCCGTCGATTCGGACAACTGTGCCAGTTACTATTATTGCAACAAACAGGGCGTTGCCACATCGAACACATGTCCCGATGACCACTTCTTCAACGAGAGCGTCCAAGGATGTGTAACCTCGACCGAAGAAGTGCTGGCCGCCTATGTGAAGAGCAACGGAGCTTGCAAGGGAGCGACCGTTGACGGTTCAGATTCCACAGATGCCACCGAAGCAACTACTGTTAAGGAGTAAGTCCAAACGGTATCAAGGATTAATAGAAGGGAATTCGGCAGATCAGGACTAACTGCAAACATGATCCTATGTATTTACCATTTAGTATTCAGCTTATATATAACAGGCAATAAAAATTTGTTCGCAAGCATCTTAGAGAATTTTAATTAATTATTATTATTATTATTCTTAATAAAAATGGATATATTTAGATGATATATATAGATGTCTGGTATTTTTAGAAGTGAACATATCGCGCGCAGTTTTTATAAAATGTTATCTTAAAATGCGAACATTGAGATCTCGCTGAGAATGCAAACACAAGTTTTCGATTACCTCTTTTACATTAGCCACACCCATTTTATCCACCCTATAAATGGGTCGATCTTGGAACGCTCGAACCACTAACACAAGTATTTTGGATCCATAAAGAAGCTGCGTAAAAAGTTAAGGAAATTACAATGCCATGCTTTTGGGCATTTGTCCTGGCACTGAGCATCTGCTTCCAGTTGGGAGCAGGACATGCCATGGATCGAAGTTGGGAACTGCCAAAAGTTCGTAACACCGTGGATGACCTCAGCCATGTGAGAACAAAATATATATTACTAATAATATAGTAATACTATTGTCTGATACAGATCTGCTTAGGTCGCCAGGAGGGCGACTTGGTGCCACATCCACTGGACTGCAGTGGATACTTCAGCTGCTCTCGCGTTCCCACCCTACTTTACTGCGATCAGGGTCTTCACTTTGATAGCAATCGTGGGGTCTGTGATCTGCCCGAGAATACCAACTGTCAGAGAAGTGATGTACCCGTATCTACTGGAGAATCCCAAGGCAGCCCAGCGGATGACTCCGAGCTCAATTGGTGGCCACACAAACCACGTCCCGTCTTCATGGCGGTCGATGTGAGTAATGGCCAGCCAGTGAATCCCATGGAGAAGTATGATCCGGAGCATATTGAGTGTCGTCATTATGGTGCCTATTTCCTGCCACATCCTAAAAATTGTGGCTTATACTTCATTTGCGCCTATGGCCATCTGCATCGTCATCAATGTGGGCGTGGCACTCTGTGGAATTTCGAGAAATCCGAGTGTCAGCTAAACGATCAGGCAGTTTGCTACGGGGAATCCAGAGTTTCAGAACCCCAAACGGACATGGAATTGGTCGTGGGAGACACCACTCCAAGCAGTGATGCACCAGTTACTGTTTGCTATATTGTCGGATCGAGAGAATTCACCACGCTCCAACAATTGTTAACGAATCCTGAGACCACCGAATTGGTTCCCGTGACACCACCTTCTCCACCTCGTGCCGAAGTAACCGCCTTGACCTGTCCATCTACCAAGCAGAGCTATATGTCTCATCTGGAGGATTGCAGCAAGTATTATATTTGCATCGGTGGTATGCCGGTGCTAACCTCCTGCCCCAAAGGACTCTTCTGGGATCAAAAGTCGGGCTATTGCGAGTTGGAAAAGAATGTAAAGTGTTTCCAGAAATAATCAATAAACTGAGGCCATGCAGCCATGCTCTCGATCGCTTTTTGGTTTTTTATTTCACTTTCCTATACAATTTACTTGAAAAATAATAATAATAATAATCAAGTTTTTATTACAAAACTGTGGCCATGGTTAGTCTTTGCCAAAAAACGGATCTTCTCTGGATAGTTTCAGGGCTTTCCTTCTCAATTTTGTCAGTTTTCCAGGGATAGTTCTTGACACCGGTCACAATGCGTTCCCAAAATGTCAGGGCACTTGGATCAGCACTTGGTTTGACATCTTGAGGTATTTCATCAGCTGAGTTGCGCTCAAAACTGCAGACAAACAGCAGGAAGAACGTGAAAAATAATACAAATTTCATTCTTTTAGCAGCTTGCAAACTGATTCCCGAGTGATCTTTAACTGATCTTGATAGAGTTATCTCCGTTTGCGTGACAAAATTCTGAATCTTATCAATAGAAAATATTTAAAGGCAGCCGCAAATCTTTTTACAACAGAAAATGGATAAGATACCAAGTGGCATGAGCTGGGCTAAGTTTTTAGCCTAAAAGAAGGCTATGGAAATTGTAAGATTTTATAACATAGAGCTTAATTTATGTAAAATATGTGTAAAATTACGAGCCTTGACTTAAAGTCTTTGCTAAGAATTCCTAAAGTTAGTTTCTAACAAATAAAATTTTATTTCTCAAACTTTTTTTAAAAAACTGTCTTAAATAGTTGTTTATATGTTACTAAAAATCAAATATTTTTATATTTATATTTAATTTAAGGACAAGAAACAAATGCTCGAAGAACATTTATATGATTCATATCACGTTTGCCTAGCTAGTATTAATTCTTTTAAAACCTGTTAATTAAGGAATTGATATTATTGCACATAACATAATAAATATTGTCAAAACTTATAAGGAAATGCTAGTATTTAGTTAGCATGAGGTAGGTCAAGAGAAAAAGAGATTGTCGTTTATTTTACTCAGGCTAAACTTTATTCAAAAAATGTATAAATGATGTCATTCAATCGGCAGACGAACTTTGAAAGATTGTCCCTGATCTCGTCGCACATTGATCCGTTCATTCATAAATTAACCAAAAACCATCTTGTGAGCTTGATTATGTTGCGAATAAGTGTGTGCATAAACGTACATATGTATATATGATATGTTCGTCTAATTTAAACTTAAGCTTCTAAGGCGGTCGGACTCAATTAGGGCTGGTTCTCTGCTCACAGCTAATCGTCGTGCTGTCCAGTAATTAATTCAGCCGTCTCCGTTGGCCAAACTCGTTGGTCAAACGTGGAGTCGCGTGACTCATTATATATCTTGAAAAATGGCAAGCCGAAAAGATCGTTTTGGGGTTGTCGGCAAAATAAATACATACATACTTGGAAAGTTTTATATGTACTTAGCATTGGAAATATAGATATCTCTGTAGCAGTGTATCATTCGTATTCCACTTAATTTTACATTGCTAAAACAAACAAACGTTTTTTATTTCGAATTGTGCTAATTAGCTCAATGAAAACGATCAATGCCCTTTTGTCGTTTGAGACATTTGTATTAAATTAAATGTACATAACAATAAACAGCAACTGATTAATGGATTTATAATACAAATGTTAACTTAAGACAAGGTCTCATGTACCCTATATAAAGATATTACAACCTTGAACTCTTTGCGATTGCAGATATGTGGGTATGACCCAAGCCAGCTACGAACGATATTTGATTAATTTATTTAATTAATTAATATTATTAAGACAGGAACTTAAAAATAGTTTTGCACTATTAAATGATTTCACAATAAAGCACACTTTTTGCTTCAAAGCTAACGGCGCAAATTCAAATTGAAATTCAAGTTCAAATCCGCTTCTGTTTTTGTCACACCCTTCCTGCTGTTAATCCAACACAGACGCGGTCAACATTAAAGAACTAAGGGAATAACTCTCTTAAAATTATTTTATGTGCCATACAACTTACATACAATTTAAGGGCAAACAAAAGTATTATAGAAAGGTATATATTTAAGATTTAAAAGTCTTCCTTGAAGTATTTTAATGTATCAGATTTAAGGTACCCTGCAAACAGCTGATGTTGCGCCGTCGCATTCAGGCAAATAACACACCGTATTCTCTCTTTAGGCAAGGAGAGCACGTATATACCTCTTTCTCTCTTCTTACTCTCTCGCCGCTGTGCGCTAAAGAGCGCTCTCTCGAGCTTTTTCCATTGCTGCGATCAGTTGGCTCCACTGCTGGCTTCCAATTAGAAAGAAAAGAGTCACCCGCGCGCGGAGTTCTTTCCGACGCGTCGTTCCGCAAATAGTTTTATTTTGTTTTTTTAATAACTTAACTTAATTTCCGTTCCGTTTGACTTTTCGCGAGTGACGTCGCCGTTTATGGGAAAGTGCGCACATATGGAAATCGTAAGGAAATAGTTGTTGTTTAACAGAAGACACGCGTCGCCTTTCCGCGTGTCTTTTATTTTTGTGGATCAGCGGCCACCTGAAAGGCGCCATTTGAAAAGCCAACAGCTGTGCGCCAAAATATAAATACATAACGTATATGTTCAAGTGCAAAAAGCTGGCGTTGTTTAATAGAAATTAAATAAAAATATACAAAAAAAAAATAATAAAAACGACGAGGAAACGTGCAAAAAACTGAGAGAGCGGTGCGTGTGTGTGTTGTCTCTTGCTCTCTCGCCCGCTCTTTTTTATTGCGCAAGCAAAAGAGCGAGCACTTTACATATGTATATATATTATATAGATAAATGTGTGTGTGCGTACCTGAAAATATATATAATTTATTTGATTATTTCCATTTGTATTAGAAACAACAACAAAGGCGCTTGCTGAATAAGTAGAATTTGAAGTGCACTTTCTTTGTGACCAAAAAGATCGCTCCAAACTCCAAAAATCGACCAAGGCTATATATTTGTGTATATGTCTGTGGATTTCAAAGCGCAAGCGTCGCGTCGCCATGCGAATGTTAATAAGAAACACAAACCCCTAATAATCGTCAGCAGCTGAGAAATAACAAAAAAGAAACATCACAACATTATCACATAAAAATATAACAAAAGTGGAAAACCAAGAAATCAACTAAACTTAAGCAGGCAAGTTCATCAAAAAAAAAAAAAAATCAGTACATAAATATAACGACGAACGACATTTGCTCAGCAAACTAACTTAAAAATTGATAAGGCGAAGGGTAAAAAACCGATTTGCCAACTCTTTGCGATATGCGCTGTCCTTCTCGCTCACTATCAGCTGGACTGTATGACTGTGGTTCGGGTATATCTGATATTGTATACCCTGTAGTTACTTAGTTAAGGCTAGCAGTTATAGTGAAAATATTAGAAGATTGGTTTCGGCCAAAATATTCACTATATAAAGAGAAAAACTATATTACTGAAACGTTTCTATAGCGACTGCAGTAAACTTTATTTCGAATCGAATAAGTACCATTATTACTTACATATATTATTTTCATATAATGAATCATTAATACAAGTGAAAACCCCTTTTTTTCAAAAATGTCGGTCTCGATTAATCGAATACGCAAATTTTAACGTTCTGCGTTTCCTGTGCTGGAAATTATTCTTAGTAGCTCATAAACCAAGAAGATGGTAAATGATTCATTTTCGGGCATTTTATAAGCTTTTTGTTAAAGAAAACTAACTTTATTTGGAAAAGAATTATTCAAACTTTATTCAAGCACTATTAAAAATAAGTGTAATAAAAAAAATGAATAAAAATAATGTGTAATCTCAGGCACTCCATGAATATTTACATTTGCTTACAAAAAGGTGTGATTTTCAGTTTAGGTTTTCCCATTTCTAAAATACTTTATGTTATCGACCTAAAACACTCCTTTGATTTGACAAAAGTTAAAAATCTTAGGCTTGTCAGAAAAATATAAATAGTAATAAAGAATATTTTAAATAAATTAAATAATTAATTGATATTAAACAATGTTTTTAGCCAGTGAAATCAATAACACCATTGCTGTAGAGACTTAACATTACTAAATAATCTTTCCCTTATAATATTTTAATACATTTCAAGCTTTGTCACAATCATAAAATAAGTAAGCTATAGCTCTACTATTTGTTTATCTATCTGTACAGTTGTGCTGAGATACAAATTGAACTAACCTAGTACACCTAATGCACAGAGTCTAGAGGTCTGGCAGATAAATGTGTATACACGTGCTGGAGATGGCATATCACTCGTTATCAAAGGCGGTTAATCTAACGAGTACGTGAGAAGGCTAACAAGCTTCGCGTGGATTTATGTAACATTCATGGCTCCAAAATGCTGCGACTGAGGCCAGTTTTCACTATCCGAAAGTCTTATCAAATGCTGGTACTATACATAAATGCACCAAGAAACTTTTCATACTCATCCGAACGTAACTCAGTTTCGATTCGATACACAACCGGTTTGGGTTCCTGTAGTTAACACTCATCTCGTATTGGAAGGGGTATTTCGGGGGTACATCTCACAGGAACTCCATGCACCGAGCCATCAATCAGTGTTACAGTCTAACTTCTTTAAAACTAACATTGTGGAGGTTGTGAAATCTATGGGTTAGGTTTTATATTCTAAACAAGAACTCACAGACCTCGAATTTTTGTTACTTACAAACAAAATGGCTTTAAAAATACAGAAATATTATTTTATTGATGATTCAAGCTAACTAAGTTCACCTGTAGATATATTTTTCTATGAGTATGTGCACTCGGACAACAATGCGTTGTCAATGAAAGCGGCAAACTGGTTTCGACCTAGGAAAATCAACGCAAACAGCAGTGCAAAGTTGGCCCGGTGAAAACGCAGTCAGCTCGACCACCGCATACCCATGCACTTCCCAGAGCATCTAAAATATCGCCATATCCATTTCATAATAAACAAAAAGAACCGCGCCAGAAGGGCACCCAAAATATTATTTATAAAATTTTATTTTAAACGTTATGTTAACTGATACTCGTCGTTGGCTATTCAATTACAGGCAGCACAATTATACGTTAAAGTATGGCTAAAATTACCCAGCACGTGTTGAAAAATGTTTGAGCTTGATTATTATTATTCCTTTGTTAAGATTTTATTTGTTTTTAATCTTTGACTTTAACTAAAATCAATAAGAGTAGGTACCATCTTTCGAACTCCCTTTCCGACTACCAACTTTCTTGACTGTTGGCCAACTCTCTCGTTACGCTATCATATCATCGATTGTTGTTTGCAAGGTAAATTTGATCAGTCAATTGAAAAGTGAAGTCTGCACTCGTAATGGAAGGGTTTTGGTCCACCCTGGCGTGAACTCTTCGTACAGAAGCAAATGGCCAAGTGGTAACGTAATACCCTAACTCCGTTCAGAGAGATAAACAAAAGTCGAGTCAAGACCAAGTGAATCATAACATCAAATCTGGTTAGTGATCTACGCACAATGAAATTTGAAATCGCCAACGGAGCATGTCGAATAATCAAACGCAATCGAAATCGATATCCGTATCGAAAAGTAAAGCCAGTGCAAGGGTAAAAATAATATCAAAATAATGGCAAAGAAAGACAGGACAGTGAAGACTCGAGTTAACCACAACCGGCTAATTGTTGCTTGGCAGGAACTCCTGCATCATCTTCATGGAGAGCAACGTTTGAGAGGGACTGATTGTTATTGATATTCCGATCATGGCTTCTCATGCGGTTTCGATCATTGAAGTGTGCGGTTGTTTAAATCTTGCACTGCAAGAAATAATGTAGAGGTTCTTTGAATAATGTTTCTAAATTATATTTTAATGGAATTTTTTAAACCATAAATCGAATTTTACATGAAATGTAAGAGTTTGTCCAGAAAAACCTAATTAAACACCTTCTTATGGGAATATTCAGATATTTTCTGAATTTTTCTTTCAGTGCAACTTTGGATACAGACTTACTGGGGTACTTAACTGAGGAGACCCTATAGAGAACAAATATTTCAGTCATTTCTGTTTTTTGTTTACCAGAGTTTGCACAATATATCTTGGAAGTCGGCTTCATAAGCCATTCAATACACGTTCCGCCATGAATGTTAAGTTACAATGGTCAACACAATTTAAAACAGCCCATTTCGAGTCGGCGGGCTATTCAGTGTTAGGAATAAAAGGTGTTTCAATGACACAACCACATAATTATCACGGCTGCTTGCACTTTGTACTAAAATATGAAAAACATCTGTGAAAAATCTTAAGTACGCTTTTAAAAAAGGCCCAGAAACTGACACAAAATGGTCACGTACTTTTAATCATTGTTGAATTTTAAGAAATGTAAGCGGAACTAAAATAGTGCTAAATATGTACTTAAAAGCTTTACAAAAACTATTAAATATATTTTTTAGAAATGCTTAGATGTACTATTTTTATAGCCGCAAGTCATTATCTTTTGATAAAATCAAAAACACAAAATAAAAAGACGAGAATATAGAATGATTGATTCCTTTTAATTTCGCTGGCGTTGATAGCAATGCAAACGAGCCAGCTGATTCTTCGAGAGCTTTGTTTATTGTGTTTGAACCACTTCAAGATATTATTAACTTTAAGTTAAATATGAGTAAAAATAGAACAATAATTGGGTATCACAAAGTCGAAATAAGAAGATCTCCTCAGCTGAGTTCTCAGCTCAAAATTAATTGGCCTCGACTGCTAGAAATGTGTGTAGAATCGAACTGGCAATGAATCATGTTTTGCTTTTGGGAAGTTCTACTGAAGTAGCATTGACATTGATAAAGACAAGGGAACAAGTGAATAAATTTTAATGGGTTGATAAGATCGCTCTTTTTTGTATACTCCCAATAGATGTTTCTCTATAAAAATGTTATGAAAACTAAAATCTGTAAGTGATAATGTCATAATTGAACGATCACAAAGACATTGATTCCTAAGTGGACAATGAGGGTAAAACTATGATTTCAGATTACACTGCCAAATCAGAATTAGAAACACCATGCCACTTCAACAAGTGAAAAGATTGTCCAGGGCAATGCAATCTCTCGGATACATACGACGACTGACTAGTACCATTAGAAACGGAACCAAAACAATCGCTCCCAACTCGCTCCAAAATCGCAAAAGCCAAAGCGACGGGAACTCAGACAAGTGCTATTCACTTTTTTTTGTTGGTTCGAAATCTTATCATTGGCGCGATGGCTGTTGACTGTTGTTTTTGAGCTTTGCTGGAAATAAAAAATTGCTGGCGATAACATTTAGGCAATTTCACTTGCTGTGTCCCTCCTTTTCTGGCCCAATTCAGTACTCCGGGAGCAGCTAGCTCATCCCGTCCACATATGTCAGTCGTTCGAGTGTCAGTCGTAAATTGGAATTGTGTCGAATAGAGGCGATGGACTTCTGATGACGCCCGCGTTGCAAGTATCTCCAAGTGTTGGCTGTGTATCTTTGGCTATATGGGCCACGTATCTGCAAGTCCATGTGCAGCAAGAAAGACACTCGGAGAAAAGTCTCGTCTAAAGACAAAGGCTGATATCTATGTACATTCCTAGGGAATTCATTTTTAACTTAAAAATTGAAAGTACGTAAAATAAGATTCTCATTTATGATAAATGCATACGAAAACCCACAAATCAATTTTTTTTACAGAAACTTTAAAAATTATTAAAAACTTTTAAAATATTCCCCAGTTTAGTTTGCATTTTGTTAAAAGTGTAGATTAAAAGTGTATTGATTCGTGTCGAGAGCGAAGTCGTCAGTCGTTTGATCGAGTATAACTGGAGTGAAAGTTTCACTTGGGCGGTATCCACTGTACAGCAGATAATGGCTCCCCCAGCACTAACAGATACTAACCCATACAATCGCTTGATATATGCCAGTACTTTTGCTTTTTCGCTGTATTGGGTCGCGTTTATCAATGTAACGATTCGCCGTCGCCATCCTTTGGCGATGATAAATTGACAGAATGCACTTGTCCAGAGTTTTCGTTACGAACTCCGCCGTTTCTCAGATACTGCTGAGGTCACTGTCACTTAGAATGGGGAAAATGTCAGATTCGATTGATCGCAGACAAGTTTTATGAGCTGAAAGACTGCGTGAAGTGATGCTGAAAGTAAAAGTGAACTTAAAGTGATGATAATTTTAAAAGGGTTTTGCAGTTAAGGGCATAAAATATAAGATTTTAGTGTCGGAGCTTGTAAGAATTTAAGAAAATTATTGATAATAATAAAATATAAAAACCTTAAGACTTACACTATAGTATCTAGCTTCTCTAATAAACGAGACTCTTGAAAACGACACACATTCCTAAAAACACATTACACATTCCATAAACACTCGCAAGATAAAATCTTGCAACATTAGCTAGGTCTTCTCATCTTTATACTCTTCAGAAGTACAAGTCTGGTACTAAAAGATAATGACACAGATAAAATCTAGATTGTGACTAGTCATTTAACATTACATTTTTTAGGAATTACATTTATATTTTATATAACTTGGAAATGTAGGAAAACTCTATCTGAAGAGGGTGAATCCCAGTAGATGAAATCTAGAATACCCCCTTGAACCTTGAATTCACTGCAAAGAATTATTCTTTCTGTTTATTTTCTTTTTTTTATTCTTGATTTTCACACACTCAAACCCACTTCTCATATACAAACCATAAGTTGATTGATTTCGCCATTCGAAAATAACCAAAGTAGTGAGTTTTAGGGTTGCTGATAGGAGAGAGAGAGAGAGTCGAATCGCAATAAACGCTGACCGAATGCGAATTACCCGACACTTAATCAGTTTATTAACGCCCGTTTCCACACGCTTTCTGTATTTTCCAGGGGTTCCAAGGGTTTGAAGTCCGTTGGCTTCGGAATGTATTCCAACAAGGAGACAAAGAGTGTGCCAAAGGCCCAGAAAAAGACTACGAAAGTTAACAAGAAGCATCAGCAGCAGCAGCAGCAAACTCAAAAGCAGTCACCGTTGGCCAATGGCAATAAAGTTAAGTCACCAGCAAATGCCAAGAATAGCCAACAAAATAACAACAACAACAATAATCAAACCAACAATAACAACAACACTACAGTGCCGAATAATAATAGTAAAAGTAATACATTGCCAGTAAATACGACGCAGAAATTCCGGGAGCATTACCACGCTGAGAAGAAGAACCAGAGCCTTAAGATGGGAGCCACCACGTTGCCCGGCTACGATAGTGTCCCCAAAATGGAGCGATCTAATAGCTTTTCGTTGCGCACCAAATTCAATAAACTGATTAATCACCTGACTGGCAGCAAGGAGAATCTATCGAAGACCGATAACGATGGAGATTCCAGTCGATTACCATTCACATTCACCCGCAGTCGATCGATGATTCAAATGAGGCGACCCAATCGCCGGAGTTTCATAGAACCCCAGTTGGAGCAACTGTCCGAGGAGACAGAGAAATCGGGAGATCTCACCTCGCCGGCTTCACCGCGTAAGACTTCCATTGCCGACTCGCCAGTATTCCTGCGTAGAAGTGAACTAACCGGATCGGTGAGGACACCAACACGTCGTCAATCCGCCCAGCCCTTCACATCGACTCCGTTGGAGGAAGTGCAGCCGCAGGCTCAACGCAAAGGCTCTCTGCTGTCGCTGAATCAAACGGAACCCATTAATAATCCCCAGCTGAATTTCCAAAAGAGACGATCCAACACCCTGATAGCTTCATTTAAGAGCACCTTCAGTGGGCTAACCGGCAGTAGCGGTGGAGCCGAGAAGAAGGAGAAGATGAATCCCAAGTGGAGTGCCTCGTTGCAGTCCCTGCAGGCCATCGACAATATGGTTAGCTATGCCAATATGTCCTTCATCGACTACGACAAGTTCAATGGTTATGAGAAGCAGCTGGAACGACAGCAATCGTTGATGAGTTTAGCGGAACAGCCTGTGCCCACTGCCACCCAACTACCACTTCCTCCTTCTGCCTTGGCCCACTCCCATTCACCGTCGCCTCTGGGTGAAACTTCTCGCAACTCCGTCCACCTGGGCTCATCCCTGGATGAGTCGGTCAGGACGGTGGTTATGCGCAGAAAGAGGAGTAAGACTTCCCTGGAGGGCAGAAGCAAGACCTCCTTGAATGGCAGGAGCAGCATGGCCAGCTTGAACAGTGCCTACAATTTGGATACGGATTACGAACACAATTTGGACCGCGTACATAATGTCTATCGAGAAAGTTTGGACTCGCGAACTTTGGAACTACTAAATCTGCGCTCACGGAACTCCTTCATCCAAGATCAGGCGGTGCTGTTCGATGCACTGAATCTGGAGGATGGCTCAGTGTCGCGTCGGTGTGCCTTTTGTTCGAAACGAGTTTGCAGGAGTGGCAGCATGCGGCAGCAGCAGCAGCGGGAAAGGGATGCAGTGGACGGGCGAGGGAATCCAATAAAACAGGTGAGTCCAAGTCCAAGGATTTTCTTATTCTTTGAGCTAAAAAAGTTTGATAAACTGAATTGAATTTTCTAAGAAGTAATATCAGAATTTTGAGTTCACTCTGACGTAGTACAGATGACACATCATTACATGACTTTCTGGCTATAACTCACCGATAAGAATATATAGCTTTAGTTGGAACAATCAATGCTTTCAATTTACTCCGGAAGTTGCCAGTGCAAAGGGCTTCATCTTAAAGCGTCATCGATTTCCCTGAACAGCTCATTAAGTTTACTTTTCTTATCAATGGAAAATGTGTAAAAAAAAATATGAAAATTCTGCGTAGGTTGTTGATAAACGACTAGTATAGTTATATGCAGATATTTTTCAATGTTAATCAGAGTTTCAGCAATCAAGTTCTTGAAAACAAACTATTTTTATAGATCGTCAAGGTTGAGAACTACTTAACATAAAGTAAGGAAATCTAGAAATATGTCAGTTCTAGTTTGAGTAGATTTAGTTAAGTTTAAAGCGAAATATTTTCATTTTCTATAAAAGAAACTCTAACTTTGTATTAAAGTGGTTAGTTTTTCTTAATTCAAAAATTCAATTTACAAGCCTCTTAATACCACAAATGCTTTCGAAAGCAAACTGGAAACTAATTCGTAATTCATTTACGAAATAATTAATCTTAAATCTGCGACTTTATAATTAAAACTGAAACAAAATAGCAAGCAAATAACATGCTCATATAGCACATTTTCCCAGAACAGCAAAAAGTCTATTAAAAATAATCTTCTAAGTATTCCAATCAATCATTAACTATCTGATTGTTGTTGCTTTTCAAATGAAATCCCACCACAATCCATTTCCCAAATGCACAAAAAATGGTATCCATGGCATGGTCTTAACTATTTGTATTTGCCAAATTAGAAACGTGAATCGTTATTGGAAATATAAAATAGTTAATAATATAGCGACAAATGACCCTTACGAACGTAGTTTGATTGCGGATAAAAACTAATTTGCACTTAAAGCGATCTAAGTATAAAGACAGAAATGTAGATGTGTGTTATTTTAAAAGACGATTGCGATTGTTTTCCCCATGTTGGCTTTACAGCATTTACTGCGTGTAGTCGGTGTCGCCCTTGGAATAGTGTATGCAGGCCAAGACAGTATCCAGCAGGTACAGTGCGCCCTCGATGACGCACAGCGATCCCATGGCAATGCCCACTTGACGTTCCGAGTTTACATACAAGAATCCCTCGTCGGACATGTAACCCTTCCAGTAATGGAGAGCAACTCCGCCCACAGCGATCCACATGATGCAGCCAACAACGTTCATGATGGTGTCGCAGAGTTCACTGAAAGAAATAGGAAAGAAGTTAGATTTCTTGATTTTCCAATAAATGCCACATTAACTTACCCCTTATGCTTGGTGGTACCGAAGGCAAAGGCAATGGTATGGCATCCAGTGTAAATCAAAAATCCAACCATAACGCCCGAGGCCACAATTTCCGCATCGGCGCTCTTCTCCTCATTCAAATTCCAAGTTCCGCCAATGCCCAAGAATTCGCCGCCATCGCCCCAACGGTACAAGAAGATGATCACCAAGTTGATGATCTACAAGAAGGAAATAAGGATGCAGGAGAACAATGAGGTCACTTGTTAAGGCGAATGAATCACTTTTTGGCCACGCCTCGGTGTACAACGCGGCGTATGAGTAACATTGCTAATACACCAGGACTGATAAAACGCGCGCTTATCAGCCAAGTTATTGCGACTACCCAGGCTATTGCTCAATTTGTATATGGGGGAGAAAAAAACCCAAAAACTTACCAGCTTGAGAGCCTTGATGAATATAGAACCAACTGTCTCCACGGATACCATTTCGCGCTAGTTTTGTTTTGTTATTCGTTTAGCTGAAAATTCAGGGAAACTCTTTAGTTTTTAACACTTTTTCAATGACTTCTTAATCAAGAGGCACTCACAATCTTTTGGTGTAATTTTCACGCGGCAACTACAAAACAAAGTGATTCGTGTTCGTATCGTTGTCGTTCGTCGACTAAACTGAAAATCTCACTGAAAGGCAACCTGTTGCGCTCGTTCAGTTCGTATTGTCGCCAAGAATTTGTAGCTTTTGCAATCTAAGCATACACGGTCAGCGATAAGATAAGACCACAGTACGATAACAGGTGCTATTCGAAATGGGTTACTAATTTGTTGGCGGTTCCCAATGGGGAGGTTAAAAAAACAACAAACTTAACTCAGATGCGCATGCGCCAGCCCCACCCGCGTATCTTATCGCCTGTCGTTATCGCGACTCTGTTGCCTTACATCGCGATATCAGGTGCTCTGTTTTTTAGCTGGTTCCCAGCAGCAGCAGCAGCAGCGGAGGTGGAATTATTAAACATTATTCATGGCGGCCACAAAGCCACAAAAGTGGAAAACAAAGCCCTGAGGGCTTTCAGAGACCGGAAGCAGCACTTGTTCTTGCGTCATCAATGGACTTTCAAAATACTTTCCCAGTGAGCCATTGGTTTGGTATTCCCTGATAATGATAGCCCCATAATTAATGCATCCCTTATGGGAACCTTGAAAATCCACTGACCTTGCCACCATTCTGATGATCGATAGCCCACTTTGATTACATTAATTCTCGCTACTGATTGAAGTGCCTTACGCACACACACTCAGTCACCAAGTCGCTGGAACTAATCTGCATTTCAATTAACTCAACCCTAGCACAATAATCATAGCTTTGTGAGTAGTCATGTTTGAGATTTCGAATCAGATGGAACAGCACAATGCAAAGTGATAGTGGCAATTGGCGGGCATTAAACAGCATCTGCGGTTGGGTGTCCTATATATTAAAAGATATATATATTTTTTGCAATATGAAAGTGGAAAGTAATTGGGAGTTTTGAGCTAAGGATAGATTTTCTGTATAAACTATTTAAAAAGATTTTAAAGAAAGTTGAAACTTCTAATTCTTGAAGCCACCAAAAGTAGTAAAAATAGTTAAAAAATATTCATAAATTTATTTATTAAGCTCGTGGGAAAATTTACTGCACATTTGGCAACTCATGCACTCTGTTTTATATTTATAAGCACCATTAAATTTTACATATATAAATCATAAGTTCAAAACATGAAACACCAAACATGACATCACACCTCGTCAAGAGGTTTTTTTTATGACCTGCCATTGAGTAGCAAGTATATACACACAGATTCATGAGGTACTATATATAAACGAGTGTAATTTACTCACTGCGAGATGATATTGGGTTTCGGATGCTGGGTCACCGGAAAATTATGAAATATTACTTTAGTTTTGGGTTAAGAAGTATTCCAGTATTTTCAGTTTCTTCTTCCAATGTGTTAATTCTGTTAAATGTTTATGGTTTTTAAAGTCATAAACAATCATTACTAAATTAAAAGGTTTTTCAAAGAAAAACATTTGAAGGTTATATATTATTAGGTTCTAGATTTGCAAGTTGATTCAAATTAACGATCTTAAATGTTTACTTTTTATAGTTTACATTCAGTTTTTATGGGATTTATTTCGGCAGAATACTTTTTTGTTATTTTATTTTCCTTTAAAGAATCCCCCCAAACTCAACAATTTCCTTGTGTTTTATTAACTAATAAAATGTTTAAAAGGAAAACGAAAAATTGCTTATATGCAAGAGTCTACTGTATAATCCAGATATAGCATTGTCTTGCATTTAAAATGCAAATTGTCTGTTGCCTGAATGAGCTAAGGAATTTCTTTCCAAATCAAGGCCATAGGTTGCAGTGTTCTTTCTTTAGGTTTCTCCACTTTCAAGCCCCCTTCCGATTGTTCCGAATTCTTCATTGTATCCCCATGGAGTCCCCCAATAAGTGACTTTAAATTTGGACTTGTCTCCTCTGTGTTTGTGGTCGATGAATCATAGAAAGAGAGAGAGAGACAAAAATCAGCGTCAGAACAACAAAAACCGGCATGCAACGGCTACAAATACAGATGCAGTTCTTGCCTTGGAGCTCCCTCTCTACACTTATTTATTAAATTTATTTATTGGAGAGTGAAAAATGAAGAGAGTCAGCTCCATAACTATCAGCTTTTGTGTGCCATCAGAACAGGCGTCAAACTATTAAACGTGATAAGTTATGAATATGTCAAGAATGCAAACTGCTCGTTTTAAGAATTCAGTTTTCAATTCCTTCGTTAATATATGAAAAATGCATATTGCTTTAATAGCAATGCTTCATAATATTTTTATGTAACTTCCAGAACTTAATCCTTTTTTAAACTTAGCTACAAACTAGCCAACTGCACATCAAGGTTCTAACCGCGTGTTACAGCTTTCAGCATTTCAGAGCTTCCCTTAACATTACAGCAATGTAAAATGTATATAAAGGGAGAGCATATAACAGTCACTTACGAACACATCTGTAATATACTTTTGATTTTTTGCACACCTTTTGAGGAGCACTTACCTGCCATATTTGGACTTCCTGGCGTCAATGAGGTGTGACAGCGATTTGGTAATGAGATTTCAGCTCGCTTTCTGTGGGCGGTATTAAATTAATTGGCAGACATTGGCAAAGTGACTCAGAAATATGCACAACGAGCACATGTGGCAAAGAGCTTTTCGATTTTGTTTTGATTACCAATTTGATATTGTCTCCTCTTCTTCTTAGTCTTTTGCCGGCTGAGTTGTTGCTATTTATGAATGAAAGTTCCGTTTGTTTACTTTTGCGCTTTAGAGTGTGCGCACAAAGCTCTCTCTTTTAGAAAGAGAGCTAGTAAAAGTGAGAGTAAGAGCAAAGAGAAATTCTTATCATTCGAGTTTGAAAACACACACAATCGCATTTGAAAAAAGTTTTCGCCAATCTAGAAATTGCGGTAAACTTATGTGCTGAACAAATGAAAACTTTAAGAGATTTATAAGTTATTAAGAACTCGATTTTCAATTAATTTAAAATGTGTTGCTGAACAAACAGAATCTCAAACTCCCAATGTTTACATTCAACTTTGAAATTGTCGAAAATAAAAAATGTTTGGCAAGCATTTTTATGACATTTGCCCAACGCTTGTATTCATATTCATAGATTTATAGGCATAACAGCGCACAGCAGAGGTTAGAATAATAGTATCGAAGTTCTAGGATTCTAAGAAGTTGTCATGTCTCTCATGAAAAATAATGTATTTAAAAATTATTTTTAACATATCTTCAAAATTAAAATCATTTAATGTAATTTAATTATTTTTAATGTACTTTTTAAGCTTCTTCCTCTGAAGATAAATATTCGATCTGGAAATAGTAAGCATTGTAAAATTTAACATGTCAGATAGGTCATTTTAAGATATTTATCTTTGGTCCTATTATGTCATCCCCAACTGTATCAGTACAGTCATAGACCTATTTGTGGAACTGGGTATACTATATACAGGCGCCTTGTTTAACCAGACCGAAGGCCGAACCCCATCTTCGTGTCGTTATCCTTATCAGGCGAGTTTCTCCGCTGCCTTCGTTGTCCTTTAAACGAGTGGCTGGCGTCGCCTTCGCCTCAGTTCGTCGGCAGCCGTCCCACAGTGCGGATGACCCAAAAATCAAATCGCGGAACACGGACCGCCGACCTTTGACATCAGTTTTGCTCGCGCTCGCGATTTTTGCCGCGCTGTCACCGCGATTTTAAACGCTTTCAAACCGTTTTTTCTGTGTTGTTGCTGTTTTTATCAAAAGGAAATAAAAAAAAAGAAAGAAAAAAAAACAGAAGTAAATAAAATCAGAGTAAACAAGGAAAGCAAGAGTTACATGACTGAGTAAAGTAGAGCCTCCTCGTTCAATAACAAATCAATTGAAAAATGTATACCCGCCCTGCAGGATGCAGCCACGGTAAACAAGAGCTCGTCGTACATATGATTGTTTGTTTGCAAACATCGGATTCGTTACCAGACCGATTTTGCATACAGTGCGTTTCGCAACTAAAGTGACACTGTGGTGACCACGAAATTTGCATACATAAGACTGGATGAATAATCCCGAAAAGCGAGCATAATGAGCTGCTTAGCATAAAAAATGCGAGACTTTAACTCGTTTTAAATTGTGGCTTAGTTGGTTAGTATAATTTGTTAGCTTAATGTATTTAAGGCACTTTTAGTTAGTTAGTTTATAGTTTTAGTTTTTAGTTCTGCTCTTAAGAATATGTCCTTATACCCATCAAAGACACTGTCAAATATCCATAGTAGATGTGCCACTTATCCTTGTTTGAAGTCATTTGACAATTGTCCTTGATTCCGACGTCTGCTTTGATGACTTTAAAAGGTCATTAGTTAGATATGAAGTGGGCAAAATCTTTGAAAGTTTACAAAGCTTAAATAGTATTCACTTTTCATAGCAACAATGCATTGGTTTTGTTTACATTTCCACACGGAAATGGGTTATCTTTCCACAGAATAACCTGCATTCTATGTTAATGGCCAACAGAAGAGTGGCGGTGGAAATATGGCCATAAAAATTCAATGAAATCATTTATTTCAATGGCTTCCATTATTAATGAATGTTATGGCCTGTCGTTGACTCTGTTACAGTTAAACAGTAGAACCATTTAGCAAATGTGCTATTTATAAGCATATGGTAATGAAATCATTTTTACAAGGTTTGTTTTTTTGTTTTTAAGAGACTATAAATATATGATAAAAAGTGAAGTGATGTGGTAAAAGTCTGTACATTTATTTATACTATTATGTATTTATAACAATCTTAGTTATGAAAGTAAACGAGACACTTTAACAACTGCTGTAAAATAATAATCATTTCTAAGTAGAAGGGTTTTCTTTTCAGACGAGTTTTCCCCCCAATTGAGTTCTCCCCCTAGCTCCCCCTACTTATCAGAATTTAAAATCTTAAATTATTCCCTTACTTTGTAAAGTATTAAATTGTCGCTCCCCATGATATCTCCTTCGAGCTGTGGATTAATGTTTGCCTCTCACGGGGAATTGCTGGTGACATTTATTTCTCGGCGACAGAGATTTGTAAATTTGTAATGCTTAACATACTTTCGGGCATAAAAAGTACTAGATAAATGTAATCATGGCAGAGCGTTTTC